TTACTTCATTTTTCAGAGGAAAATATTGAACTTTTGCTCCACTATATTTTCTTAATTTAAATAAGTTAAATAATTAGATTTTAAATAAGTTACACTCACACTGTAAGATCAATATTCAACATGGAAAAATATGATAAGGAAATATTATATATGTCATGTCATATGATTATATTAATAAGAAGTCCATTCAGGAATCAATAGTATCTAGTTGAACGATTTTATTGTCCAAATTAGAGTTTGAATTAGAGTGTGGGAAAAACCGGAGCACCCGGAGGAAACCCACGCCAGGACAGGGAGGAACTGGGTCCAGTGGTGGGCCTGGCCTCAGTAACGAGGCCAGAACCACCAGTGAGCCCAGTTCCCCCCTGTGTGGCACAGTGTAAACTACTGATAGGAGACAGGCCAGGGCTGTTCACCAGCATTAGCCTGTCCGTTGACACCGGCAACAGTGAGGCAACAGTGCTATCCGCTGCTCCACCGTGCCACCTTCAGGAGTTTACAAAAGGATTATGGCCAAGATGGACCACACGCCACAAATAGCGATGACGCTCATGACGGGCCAGAAGTGTTCTCTCCATGCAGATCTCTTCTTCTTTTTTGCAGCTTCAGTCACGTGCTTGGAGATGTGGTCTTTTAAACTGTTGATGATGACCGCTTCCACGCTTGGTTGCTCTGACAGGATCACAAACTTCAGAGAGCTCTTCCCGCCAAGCTTCTTGGTGAGATCCTTGATGACGGCCTTGCAGATCAGTTTGATGTCCTTGTCTTCAGGGCAGAAACCCTCTTGCACAGTGAGTCCCTGCAGAGTTTTGTTCACCAGTTGTTTGGCGTAGGTGGCCATCTCCTTCTCCGTGCAGATGTCCAGAACACGGCACTTTTGGAGCAGTCTGACGGTCAGCAGTGTGACAAGCAGCTGGGTCTTGTCGATGGTCTTGGTGGTAGCTTCACAGTCAGAGGAAGGAGAGGCAGCAGAGTTGGTGGTCTCCTCTGGTGTCTTCACGGAGAGCTCGTTGACTTCTTCAGTGAGCTCCACGGTCTCGATCTCCTCTTGTGGGAGTCTTGGCTCTGATGTGGCTTGACAGCTGGAGGCAGGAGAATTAACTTCTCTGGTTGGTGGCTCCACGATGACTGTAGAGGGGCCTGGCTGAACAAGGATTCGTCCCACATCGTGACGAAAAGCAGATAATCCACTTGGACGAGCAATTGGCAAGTTGGAAAAGCCGTCCCCCATTCCCGCTCTGATATTATCGTCCATGAACCATGGTCCCGTCTGTGCTGCGCCGTGAAAGCCGGAGAGATGGACCATCGCAAACACATTGGGACCATCGCCCCGACTCAGGGACCTGGTTCCAGGGTGAAGGTCAGCAGCTCCACGAACAGGAGCAGCTGAGCCTTCGGATGAATTATTCTCCATTGCAGAATAATAATTGTCTTCAGATGGATTCTCGGATAGAGGTGTGTGTCTCTGGTGAGGTCTTGAGGACAATGACCAACAACCAGGAAAACTGTTAGTTTACTTCACATACATGTGCCTTTGATGCAGCAGATCAAAGGCACATCAAAGTCATCTAGAATCTGACGTAGCTACCAATGTGCCACGCTGCAACGTGCTTACACACACCTGCGTTCGTACACACGTTGCAGCCAGCGTCAGCACGCACGTTACTTGCCGTGCGTGGGCATTTGCGGGCGTACGTGCGTACGTACGTGCGTACAAACATACGTTGCAGCGAAGTGTACGTACGTGAGACGACTAATTATATTATTATTATTATTATTATTATAGTAAGTACCTGATGGGAAATCATATAAATATATATATCCAAAATTAACATTTAAACTAAATTACATAAATGATGAAAACGACAGCGTTGAGTCGTCTCACGTACGTACACTGCTGCAACGTATGTTAGTACGCACGTACGTACGCACGTACGCCCGCAAATGCCCACGCACGGCAAGTAACTTGCGTGCTGACGCTGGCCGCAACGTGTGTACGAACGCAGGTGTGTGTAAGCACGTTGCAGCGTGGCACATTGGTAGCTACGTCAGATTCTAGATGACTTTGATGTGCCTTTGATCTGCTGCATCAAAGGCACATGTATGTGAAGTAAACTAACAGTTTTCCTGGTTGTTGGTCATTGTCCTCAAGACCTCACCAGAGACACACACCTCTATCCGAGAATCCATCTGAAGACAATTATTATTCTGCAATGGAGAATAATTCATCCGAAGGCTCAGCTGCTCCTGTTCGTGGAGCTGCTGACCTTCACCCTGGAACCAGGTCCCTGAGTCGGGGCGATGGTCCCAATGTGTTTGCGATGGTCCATCTCTCCGGCTTTCACGGCGCAGCACAGACGGGACCATGGTTCATGGACGATAATATTAGAGTGGGAATGGGGGACGGCTTTTCCAACTTGTCAGCTCCTCATTCCACTGGATTATCTGCTTTTCGTCACGATGTGGGACGAATCCTTGCTCAGCCAGGCCCCTCTGCAGTCATCGTGGAGCCACCAACCAGAGAAGTTAATTCTCCTGCCTCCACCTGTCAAGCCACATCAGAGCCAAGACTCCCACATGAGGAGATCGAGACCGTGGAGCTCACTGAAGAAGTCAACGAGCTCTCCGTGAAGACACCAGAGGAGACCACCAAGTCTGCTGCCTCTCCTTCCTCTGACTGTGAAGCTACCACCACGACCATCGACAAGACCCAGCTGCTTGTCACACTGCTGACCGTCAGACGGCTCCAAAAGTGCCGTGTTCTGGACATCTGCACGGAGAAGGAGATGGCCACCTACGCCAAACAACTGGTGAACAAAACTCTGCAGGGACTCACTGTGCAAGAGGGTTTCTGCCCTGAAGACAAGGACATCAAACTGATCTGCAAGGCCGTCATCAAGGATCTCACCAAGAAGCTTGGCGGGAAGAGCTCTCTGAAGTTTGTGATCCTGTCAGAGCAACCAAGCGTGGAAGCGGTCATCATCAACAGTTTAAAAGACCACATCTCCAAGCACGTGACTGAAGCTGCAAAAAAGAAGAAGAGATCTGCATGGAGAGAACACTTCTGGCCCGTCATGAGCGTCATCGCTATTTGTGGCGTGTGGTCCATCTTGGCCATAATCCTTTTGTAAACTCCTGAAGGTGGCACGGTGGAGCAGCGGATAGCACTGTTGCCTCACTGTTGCCGGTGTCAACGGACAGGCTAATGCTGGTGAACAGCCCTGGCCTGTCTCCTATCAGTAGTTTACACTGTGCCACACAGGGGGGAACTGGGCTCACTGGTGGTTCTGGCCTCGTTACTGAGGCCAGGCCCACCACTGGACCCAGTTCCTCCCTGTCCTGGCGTGGGTTTCCTCCGGGTGCTCCGGTTTTTCCCACACTCTAATTCAAACTCTAATTTGGACAATAAAATCGTTCAACTAGATACTATTGATTCCTGAATGGACTTCTTATTAATATAATCATATGACATGACATATATAATATTTCCTTATCATATTTTTCCATGTTGAATATTGATCTTACAGTGTGAGTGTAACTTATTTAAAATCTAAAAATTTAACTTATTTAAATTAAGAAAATATATTGGAGCAAAAGTTCAATATTTTCCTCCGAAAAATGAAGTAAAGCACAAAATGTGTGAGGAAGATCTTAACTTAAGGGGTTTTACAATGGTTTAACTGACTTTAAGTGATTTCTTAAATATAAGAGCAGAATAAGGAGAAAACTTTAAATAGTGAAGTGAACATTTTAAGGAAACCTTAAGGGTGAAATTAAGGGTTTTTTGCATCTGTTTTTAGTGTTTTGCTCTTATTTTGGTAAGTCTGCCAATAGTAACACCAAATGTTTATTTCAGAACAATACTTTACTTTAATAACAAAATTTGACCATTTAAAAAAGGTGTTAATTGGTGATAAAATTAGTGTTAGTAATAAAATAAAACATGTTTACCATTTTGCATCAGACATATCCAGTAAAACAAAACAACATGTTTAGACCTGATATTGAATATTCAAGGAAACGTCAATTTCCCATGTATAAGCTTTACTGGATTGTCTCTCAACATGTTAACACACACCTGGGTTAATGTACACCACTTTTTTCTGATTTTAAAATAAAATAAAATTCTATTTGATATATATTGTTTAAAAAAGAAAGAGTAGTACCTCAGAAGTGAACTGTAATTGTACATTTAGTTTCTTTGTACGACTGCAGTGTTTAGTGTATTTGGTGACCTTGCTCTTCTTCTTATTCTAGTGGAGATAATCACTGTCACTAATGTATAACGCCTCAAATGGCTGCAGTTTATGCACAAAACTAAAACTGCAGGTGTGATTCATTGGCTCACCTGGTCAAGCGCTTACCACACTGGTTTAGTCCGAACCGCAGAGGCCGTGGGTTCGAGTCTGACCCGTGGCCCTTTGCTGCATGTCATCCCCTCTCTCTCTCCCTGACTTTCCTTTCTCTCTCTCCCTGCACCTAAAGGCACAATGCCAAAATAAATAATAACTTCACAAAACAAACTAAAACTGAATTTGGCAGATAAAGCATCTACAAAAAATGGTTTAACATTAACAAGTATGAAGCCTACAAGCTCTGAGTTTGTGTCTCTGACAATGTTAAACCAGCTCCAGAGTTAAACTGCCTCCCTCAGGTTCACAACCTGTTGCGTCATGTTTTAACTGACAGATATTCGCAGGAATGGCTGACACAATGACACACACTTCTGCAAATTGTAGCTTTAAAATAACAAAGAAACCAAAAAATAGGTGAGGTAATCAGCTGCAACCACAGAGTTCACTGTGCAACAGTCAGAAAACCACAGCAGGCTGTGTATGAAGAAAACTGGAAATGATACAAAGCATTGCTGTGAACAACCCTGAGAAAATACTGAGGTGATATTAACATATAAATCTTTACTAATGTGAACGTAGAAGTACAAGAACGAGTGTTTTAAAACAGCTTCATAAACATAGAAAATAAAATGAAAAAACTGAAGCTCATATCAATAGTCAAACAAATTTAATCAATGGCTTCGTGTCATTTCCCTCCATTCGTAATCTGTTACAGTTCAGAGTGAGGGTTAGGGTTCGCATCAGGAGCAGCAGAGCTGGAGGACGAATCTGTCGCCTCTTCTACCACCAAATTATTTCCCACATTCGCCTCTTCCTCTTCCTCACCCACAACCTCCTCCTCTTCCTCCTCTTCTTCTTCTTCTTTCTCTTTGGGCGTTTGCTGCTGAGTGGAGCCAGGTTCCTGCGCGTCCATGACTTTCAGGAAGTCGTAGAACTTGACGGCAGGAGGCCAACTGTCCTCAGCCAACATCCCTGCAGAGACGGACCAACACAGAGACCTCTCACTGCAAAGTTCGGTTTGATACAGGGTTAAAGATGATTTCATTTAATACTATTTAGCATCATTAAAATTACGACTAAAACTGCCTGGCATGAAGACTGGAGGCTTTACACCCTTAGGCAGCTTTAAAGTTTTGCAGATCTCCAGTCTCTCCGTGGAGAATGGATGGAATGTGCTGGACGACATTAACAGATAATAATCCTCTCGGTTCAGATGGTCTGACACAAGTCAGATTGGCGTCTTATCTCGGCTCACACAGAGACAAACACACAGGGATCTGAGGTGAAGGGTTAACTGCTGCAGATAGTTGTGCCTTAAAGGCTGAAGTTTCTTTAACAATCATCACTTTCATGTAAAGACTCATTTACGTTCAGTGCATGAGTAACCTGAAGCCTCTCGCACATGTCGTTCACAATCCTCAGACAGAAAGGCCGCAAACTCAAATCTGTACGTTTTACCAACACGTACAACTGGTGCCATATTCCTTTAACTTCTCTCGTCCTTTAACTCAGAAACAGCTTTATTACCACTCTGTTTTTATATCAACTCATGGGACACACAACCTGCCTCTACCCTCTTTATTTCGTCTGGTACAAGTTAATGAAATCCCATTAATCACAAGCATTTGACGGTATCCACTTTTGAAGAGTAGAAACAGACTTGATTTAAAAAGGCAAAGTCAAATAATTCTAATTAATCTGTTTATAGTGTATGAAATAAAACGTGGATCAATAAAAGCCATAAACACAACAGTGCACATAGGAAAGGTTTAAATGCCATTAAATGGCGTCATCGCGTTAAATCTGATGTTGAATCTGTATATTTGTCAGTGGAAATGGGAGACCGGTGTAAGTGCACACAGAGCAGACACTGTGCTGATGATGTGCGGACTGGAGTCAGCCAGCTGGAAAGCCAAGACATTTGTTGAGTTGGAAAGTCATCACTGCAGTTAGCCGCCTAATCGCTGCATGCAGGAGGGCGATCACTGCAGACAGGAGCGTCACTGCGCCAGTTAAAAACACCACTGTTGTGACTGCTGCTCATTTGCTGGTTTTGTAATTTGTTCAGATAAAATACAGACAACCAGAAAATACCTGCATTATCTCCAGCAAGGTGGTTGTTATTGTCTGTTGGTTTGTTTGTTTGTTTGTTTGCTTGTCAGCAGGATTACTGAACCAATTTGCACCAAACTGCTGGAGGGATTAAGGAACAGGCCGGGGAAGAAACCATTGCATCTGCGGTGCCAATGCTGCACACGTGTCTGTCAGATCCGGATTATTATCTGCGTAGGATTGTTTGGAGGTATGCGCTCTCCTTCCCTTCTACTTATGGATGTATTCACCAGCTGGGAAACACATTTAGATGCAGACATTTGCACTTCAACAGCAAGTGCTGAACAGACCTTAATACTCACAACAAACAAGCTGTGAGGCAAATGACTGACTTTATGGAGCAATTACAGTGAAGAGAAAGGGGGAAGTGACTCAGAGAGAAAGTGAGGCGCTTGATAATGTTTCGTTCCTCAGGATTCACCCTGTTTCTGACTGAGACAATAGATCAACTGAATCACTGCAGTGATCCATCTCTTTTGGCTCTACTGGTATGTCTGTTTGGATAACACTTACAGTAATATAGTAAACAGTAAGACCTTACAAAGCCGCTCTCCGTCCGCTTTTGGTTCCAGTTTTTAGGCTTTTTTTAAGTCCAACTATGATTTGGATTTGTTGCTGTTTTGTGTACTAGTCAAAACATGATTCATTAATGTTTTAAAGAACGTCAATGAAGACAACAGAACGGATTTAACCTGTGGGTTAACTGCTTAAGGAAACCATGCACATTTCTACCTGCTTCAGATGCTGTTTCTAGTGAATATATCAATTACTATAGGTTCAAACGTCCTGTGCACATTTATCATATTGCAGACTTTTATTTTGTTAACCACACTTCCTCCTCCGTACCTGCAGGTGAGTGAGTCCCGTCCTCGATCCTCTGCAGCCACTGCAGGACAGAGCGGGCCACGATGGGGGTGTTGGGGGGGTACTGATAGATTTCATCTCCAGAGGGCAAATGGGTGAGGACCAGAGTGGGGAGGGGGGGCATAGAGCCCAGGTATGACCCCAGGACGGACATGCCAGCCGGAGTACGGCCACTGGGAAACACACCAGCAATTAATAAAATACTCAGATAATAATGAGATTGATTGACAACAGTGGGAGGTGCACTTACAGGTGGATCCAGCAGGCTAGATATCGCTCCATCCTCCCCTCCCCCAACTCTACCACTCGTCTCATCTCCCCCACCAGCGCCTGGTTCTGCCTCCGTCCGATCTCGTCCTCCTCCTCTCCCACAAAGAGGAGGAGGAGGGCTTTACCCAGAGAGAGGAAGGACGGCAGGTTTCCCACCGTCAGTTCAGGCTGGAGATACAACAAGAGTCATTCCAGTGATTTCTATTGACAAGTAACTTTGTGTAATCAAAGCCAAACAGGAAGTGGCTGCATGGTGGATAGAAAACAGGTGCTGTGGATACCGAGGGCCCGACTACATAAATATAAATAAAACAGAGAGGCTTTACAGAAGGTCTGATAGAAATCCTTCTTTTACATGGTTAATTAGGCCTTGCTGCATTCTGGGATTGATTAAATCAGGACAACAGCGCCACCAAAAGGAGACAACTTGTCACTGGTTGGAGGTCGTGTTGTTGAGCAACATGTAGATTAAAACGCTGCTGCTTCCACTTCAGTTAATTCCATATGTTTACGTGACTCAGACAATGATGCATCCCTCTGCGGCCTTGATTTACTGCAGAAACCACACATGCACAACTGAATCCACATATGGAGCTTGTTATCTGTGACATGCTGTGAACAATTCCATCTCGGCTTCCAAGAAACACCCACACCAAGTTTTGACATCGTGCGATTTCACTTCAGTTTATTTAAATGAAGAGAAAAGCACAAGCTGAGACCTCGGAATTTTCCATTCGGCTGTATTACTCCTAATTGTCCAATTAGAGTAAAACATTCTCCTTTTTTCAGTGTTTCTCAATGCAAAGATGATTATGCGACACAGACAGACAAATGAACACAGTTGGATTTACCACAGGATGCAGCAGTGCTGTGTTGATGTGTGTGAGCAGCTCTTCAGCCGACGACACGGGCAGCGTGGAGGGACGAGTGTGTGTCCTCCAAGATGGAAACACCAACACTGCAGGGAGGTCGACGGTGTGGTCTGCAGCCCTGAGCAGCAAAACACGCACATATACACACACCATATGATATCAAATATACACACAAACAGACAGAAAAAATGTATTTAAAATAGAAATATAATAATTAAAAAGAATTTAAATCATTATTAAAGACATTAAGGTAATACATTGAGCCAATATAAGACTTTTTAATGACACAGGAATATTTTAACCTTTACAAAATGTAACCATACATTAACAAAAGTAACCTTTCAATACTCGACTGGATTTGAATCCAATTTGAATTTGTATTTTGACAGGCTGCTGATGTGAACTGAACCCGTCAAAAACAAACCTATTTCACAGATACCATCTCGTACTGCCTTAAAGTGCTGGCACAAATGCTGCCTTTAAATGTTACTGAGCAAACACAACTCAGAAAATGCACCTTTTCATTTCTGCGTCATTACTTTGGTGACATTGTGTTTCGCCACTTCCAGATAAAAGCACATGAAAAAAAAAATTCAAGTAAAATCCCAAATTTTAGGATCTTGACTTTAGAGCTGTTACCATTTCTCTGCCAGTTCGTCTGTCAACAGACCAGTCAGCACCTCTCCTCTCAATGACTTCGCTGCTTCGGTAAACACCGGGACTCCTGGCAAGAGAGAGAGACGTCAACATTACACCATCACATGATGTCACATGATGACAGTGGACAGGCCAGTGGTTTGTACAGAGAGCAGGACCGGGTCATGACCTGGTCCGTCTTTCATTAAAATGTGAACTTTCTTTTCATGTCTTCCAAATTCCAAAGATAAAGTTGATAATATTTCATATTTTTCTTGTTGTCAACAAGAAAAAGAGTTTATCACCATGAACACACACACACTGTATTTTGTCTTGACTCAATCCGACACACACCTGCTGCCAGGAACACTCACTTAAGTCCAGATCAGACTGAGTTTAGCACTGTGTTGAGCTGAACCTGGTTTATCTTTCTCTGTTATCCAGCAAGGCGCTGCTGCAGCAGCCAGTCAAATATGTACATTCACATCTTCCTGGTATTTTACATTATAACATAAACACTGTTTCTACTGTTTAGCTTGAAAACAGTTTCTAACAAGTGAACTTTTTTCCTCCAGTTTGAGGAACATTTGCAAATTGCTGTGGCTTTTTAAAAATAAAAAATAAAAGCATAAATATTTGTGACCAGGTTTTTCATATTTGCGTCATCAGCAGGAGACTCTCCGTTGGATTTGTTTGGCGTTAAGAAAAATGCACAATAACACCAACTTTATTCTTTAAGTGTAGATTCATCTCAACCTTTTGACTGACTGAGGCAAAGCTTCAATGGCCATTAAAAAGTTGATGAAATCCAAGTTTTCATATCATCAATTAGAAAATTTCTCAGATCATCAATAGCCAATAATGTGCTGTGATGCATTGATCATGCCAACACACAACTGCCGCCTCCTACCTGCATGTGTTCCTGTCTTAAACAGCCCCAGCACTCTGTCAGGCTTACAGCCTGCGAGCTCAGGGTGAGGCACTTCCTGAAGAAATGACATCACATCCTCCTGGGTGGACAGCGGCGCAGGAGACGCAGGGCGGCTCCTGGTTACAGAACAAAACATGACAGTAAATAGTATAAAAATAATATGTTAAAACATGACAACCCCATACAGGCAGCTTTCACACTGTTATTTCTAAAGAATTACTACGAGTGAGTGGGCAAGACAAGTAAAACTCAAGCTTTTATTTCAAGTAAATGAAAATGGACTCTGCATTGACAGTTCTTTCCAGAGCCCAGAGGTGTGTTTGGACCTGATGGATGTTGTCCAGGAGAAATGGCGACAACAACTCGGTCTGACTGGTCTCATCCTGCTCCGAGGAGAGACTCCTTCATCAAGACATAATGAAAAAACAAAAGCATGGATCCAAGTCTCTGGGAGATTACAGGACAAAGAGGCTCTGCCTGAGGAAAATCTCCTGACTTACAGAGAACATGACTGCACATGAATATAAACACGGGCTCCAAGAATCCTTCAGACTTAAGATGTATTCATAAAATGTTCCCTAAGATGGATGTTTTCTGTCCGGCGATTTCAGGCAGCAGCGGTTTAAACATGTGGACAATCTCTTATGAGTTTATATATATTTATAGTATCTTATTTAAGGTTAGGCCGAGGTCTAATGCAAACACACTGTAGCCCTTTGTTCTTACATGTCATTGACATCACTCTGATGTCCAAAGCAAACATCCCTGCGGGGGAGGGCAGGATGTTTCCTTCACTGTCTTTATCATATATGGAGATTTTTAGAAGCAGCAGAATATTTACTACATCTTTGGATACTGTGAATTTTGAGTTTTGTTTGTTTTTATGTGGATGCCGATCAAGTTGTTTGTTTATTCTGCTCTTTCTGCAGCGACAAGATCTGAATTATCTCATGAATTATCTTATATCCATTTATGTATAAATTTGTCCTAAAATCTGATTAGATCTTTACCCAAGTTATTATCAGGAACAAACACAATCTGTTTTTACTAATAACACACAAATCATTATATATGTTATTCATGCAAATATTCACAGTGTATTTGGAAACAGTATGTGAACCCTTCAATTAACAAAAACATACTCGAGCCAGGAGTCCAGTCGATGAATCCAGATCAGAAGTTTGTGTTAGAGCTAAAACATTTTGAGTTTTCTGTTCACAAGAAACGTCTGCAGATGTGGACCATTCCTCACAAAAAAGATCTCAGGATCAATCATCGACCTGCTGACGCTCAGGAGAAGCTGAGCGATGCAGCAGGACAATGACCCCAAACATCAAAGTCAGTAAATAAAGTGAACTATAGGCTGACTTCAAACGGAGAAAATCCACCTGTTGGATCGGCCCAGAGCCCAGACCTTAATCCAATAAAAAACCCTGTGGAATGAACTGAAGTCTGAGCTGAAACAGTTCTGTAGGAAGAATGGTCTAAAGCTCCTCCTGAACATTGTGCAGCTCTGATCAGCATTTACTGGAAGAGCTGCTTTCAGGTTACTGGTGCCAAAAGGGGGTTCAACCAGTTATTGAATCTATCTACTTCTCCCACCAGCACTGAGAATAAGACACAAAAGATTATAATTGTTTGTATGATATGAGCTTGAACATTTCCCATGATGCAACTTGATAGCATCTTTAATTACACCTGTCCAGGGCCAAGAGGAAGAAACCTGATGCTGACATCACTATGACGTCATCAGGGCTGTTTTTTTCTCTCGCTCCAGTCACAGAAGACGTTCTACGCCTGTTTCCATAGAAACAGTAATACTCTACATAACATAACGATAACGATATCATTTAACTCCTGCTTAGACACAGTCATGAAAAACTCACAGCATGATGAAGCGATGCAGTGCCTCACTACCCAGCATGCCCCTGTAGTGCTGGGCCGACTCCTGGGGGCGGAGCACCAAGACAACGGGGAAGGCCGTGATTGGCTGGAACAGGGCTGGGAGAGAGCCGCCTGGCTGAGCGGCACAGAGGTCGGTCCACTCGCCACAGTCGACCGCGCCCATGTGGACGTCATCGACCTCGGAGTCTGAGGAAAAGAGCGTTGACCAGGAAAACATCAACATCAGGTCACTTCAAAACTGTCTAAACTTATAACTGTAATAAATCACAGTGAAACCTAAAATCATCTGAGATCAGAGGTGGCAAATTTACAATTACATCGAACGCACCGTACAGCAGACTTCGACAGAGATGCGTGAGAATAATCAGGTCTTAAAAGTTGTCTTCAGTATCTAAGTGATCAGGTGATGTACACTGCAACCAGGAAGTGCTAATGACTAATTCAGCTTTTACTTTTTCCAGATTGCCAAAAATGTAAACAAAAACAGAGTTGGATGAAGCTGCAGCTCAGAGCTAACTCACAGACGCCATGGCAACATTATACTTCCTGTTTACATCCCCCAAAAACTCTATAGCTCTAAATATCACAAGTAGGTAAAACAAAGAGTATTTACTTTTTTCTGCAGCCCTGTTAATTTCTTTTGACACTACTAAGACTCAGAACGTCCTCTGAACACGGTCTTATGTTCCTCGACACTGGGTCACAGTGTCAGACCCTGAAAACCTCCACTCCTGTCTCTTACTGTCATCTCCCGATTACCTGCAAGCCTCTCTGCAACTTCAATGAAGGAGCTGAGAAAAGCCATGGAAACAGCATCCCCTGGTGGTGAGAACAGAAACTACAATTAATTCAATCCACATTTAATTATTTTATATCATAATTATTTGCTTCCTGCCCTTTTTTTTTTTAAATAGAAAGTGTGAAAATAAGAACACATCTCCAACAACAGCACATTTCCCCCAAAGACACTGCACTAATGTCAGAGACTGTGTCTTACATTTGAGGTAGAAGAGCACCACCGTCAGGCTGCTTTGTGCTACTGCAGTGTGGAAGTTTTCAGAGGTTAGTTGGGTGATTGAGTCCATGTCCAGCAGGTTGCCTCGGTTTTCATAGACAGACGCTGCAATTTCATCGTCCAGCTGCCCTGTAAACACACACAGACACATAAATACACAGGTATATCTTCTCCCTCGTCCTCCTCCCTCCTTTGCTTCCTGTTTTTCAGTCTTATTCTCTCCATTTTACCACTGGACACTTTACCAAACTCTGAATCCTCGTCCTCCTCTTCATCCTCCTCCTCCTCCTCCTCCTCCCCTCCCTCTTCCTCTTCATTTGAGAAGAGCTCCAACACCTCATCAAGGTTGTGCAAGGTCATATACTTGACTTCAGAACCCTTGAAGTGCACGCACACACACACACACACACACACACACACACACACACACACACACACACACACAGAAGTAAAGCACTCATGGGTAAGAATAACAAGTAATTTAGTTTGTTTATTTTGCTCGTGACCATCATACCTTCTCAGGCAGCCTGTAAGCAACATTATATTCATCAGGAGTTTTCACTGCAGCACTCTGCCTAAACACACACACACACACACACACACACACACACACACACACACACACACACACACACACACACACACACACACACACAGCCAGACAGTGACAAAGGTAGATTTAGTTTTGCTGGAGAAACAGAAACAGGAAACAGATACAGTAAAAACACAGGGGAAAAAAAAACAGCATTTGTTAGCTCTATACAATGTGTTTGTGATTGTAATGTAATTTGTTTTAGAAATGGTATAAAAATAAATAAATAACAATCTCTTATTGGCTCAGAGATGTACCTGTACCTCCTACACACCTGTGTACGAGCAGCAGCAGGGCAATGCCACGGAGCCTCCAGGCCAGAGTGGTGGCTGTGTCCAGGTCCAGGTGCTCGGTTGCGGGGCGAGAGAACAGGAACACCTGGGGGGTCTGCTGGTAGGGGAACTGCGGGGGCGGGACCACGGAGGGGTCGTCGTATACTTCAGACTGGCAGCAGAGAGACACATGCAATTATGTACATGTTAACAGTTTAATTAACTTTAACCTTTTGGACATCCTGACAGTGAAGCAATGATCATTAACGAACACAGTCTGTAATTACAGCAAAAAACAGGGGACAGGCTGTTGTGGTTTGTGCTCATTACAAATAATTGCCCCTTTAATTAAATGCATCCTATTCACCACCAGTGGAGCCTCCATGAGCTGCAGGAAGGAGTGGAGGCTGAGGATGGACAGGGGTTTCCTCATGCGGGTCAGAGGGCAGCGCTCAGAGGTCATCGGGGTCATGAACCTACTGTGAACTCCACAGTGGAGGAACCACACCTGAGACGAGTGAGACGACTCATTAACACTGAAGGAGAGAGAGAGAGAGAGAGAGAGAGAGAGAGAGAGAGAGACAGTGAATACAAACTTTCTCCTGTAATATCTGACCCTCCGTATTCTATGTTCGATATGTGCTGCTCTTTGTGAATCGATGTGATCTGTACTCGATGTCTCAGGTCTGTGTTTCCAAGTCAGGAACAAGCAGCTCTTCAACCAGACTGATCACTTTATCCCTCTGTTTTTTCACAGTAAGACACCTTCATGAAACACAATCTGGGCACTGTGAAGGAAAAGAAAGGAAAAGCAAAGAAAAGAAAAGAAGAACCCACCCTAAATGTTTCAGGACTGGTCCTCCTGTTATGAGGATGAACTGGTATTTGGTTCCATACACATAAGCCGTCTCCATCAGCGACCTGTGCTCTGAAGTGATCCGATCAGCAGAAACAATACAATTAATCAGACACAGAACAAGAGCCAGTTAATCAGCTGTTAAACACATCAGAGCCTCCTTGTTCATACCTTGTGTTCCCAGACTGCGGACGTAACCCAGCACGATATCCTTCTGCCCCCTGGCTGCTTTCTCCATGGCCAAGAGGTCGGCGTCTGTGTGGACGTACTTGACCTCTTCACGCAGGATGGCGCTGGAAGAGAAAGAGAAGAGCTTCTGTTTACAGGCTGGGGTTATTATTCACGTCTGTATGAGATGATGATAAACAGCATTAAATGCGGTGAAATACATAAATAAGCAGCAGAAGAAAACGTTATCTGTCTCGAGTGTTTTAGATACAAGTGCAGACTGGAAAGTAAAATCTCCCACAGCTGTGTGGCATTATAACTGAGGGAGTGTTGCTTACTTACAACAGGACTTCAGAGACTATGGAGTTGACGTCAAACACAGTGTCCAAATCCAAACCCAAGAACTCCCTGCCAGCCCTGACACAAAGACGTGGGCAGAGTTAGAGAGAGACAATACACTGCACCAAATACTCTGTCGCTGGTTTATTGCTGTTTTAGAGAATGTGCTGATTCACCTTCATAGTAGTTTGTGGTGCTGTGGAAGTGTGTTCTGACTGCTACTTCTTGTTCGACTGATGAATATAATTTTAATAATCATGAGTCGATGTAGAAGTCTTGTTTGATTTGACTCTGGAGGCTGTTTCTGTAATGTGATAACCAAATGGTGAGAGTGAGGTTTCCAAATTATGGTGTGGGAGGCTTGACGGGTTGGTACATGCCACTCTTCTAAAAACAATGTTAGTTATCATCTTTTAAGGCTCTGGTTTTTGCATGTTTACCACCAGTCAGCAGTTACAGCAACTTGAGTCTCAGTTATAACTCAGTCAAATCTGAACACAGACATGATACACATATTTTAGATTCAGTGTGACGTACACTTTCTGAGGAGATCATTATCTCAGATGTCCTTCGCAGATAAACACCCACAAACATCTCCTGATAACTTCAGCATCAAAGCAGTGACAGTTCTCTCTACATCCATGAGCACATTGCAAACAGCATTTCCAAAATGTAAAGGAATACAGGCTAAAAAAAACGTGTCTCCAGCTGTGGCCCAAAGCGTAAAAACTGTCCTGTTATATACTCTCTGGTTATTTTTTGAGTTTTGTGACTAACCGTCACTGAGTACTTCAAGTCTACACAACCTACCTGAACAGAAAAGCTGTGTGCAGTAGCCTTTCATCAGTGCAGTATGTGTGAACCGGCTCTTTATTGCAGTTGACCTGAACAGAGAGAACCGAAAGCTTCGGATCAGCCACACATTCACTTGCTGTCATCTGTGTCCAAATCTTGAAAAAACTTGAAAACATGAGCTTTAACATCAACTTCTTTGACAGATGGAGCACTTTATAACTATGGTTACCTTGCCAACCAGTACTCCATAATCCTGCAGAACTTCAGCCGATTTCTCCAGCTCCACCAGGAAGAGAGAGATGGTTGGAGAGACTGGAGACAGAGGTGGCAGAGAATGAACACTGTTATCCTTGATAAGTGACAAGAGATGCTTTAAATAGCAGGCACAAGATGGAGATAAAGGATCGTATCATTTGAATAAAGAATGGAACTTGACATGGCGTTTTTAATGTAAATGAATAAAGACATATTTTTATTCAAGTGTCACCCAAAGGTTCCTCCCGACCTGAACTTACATGACACCACTTGCCTTACATGCAATGACGAGAGGGAACAGAAGGAAAGCGACAAATTTAAACATACAATGCTGTACAACAACCCCTGATTACTGCAGCACAATCTAAAAATAGACAAACACAAGATTTGGTGGTGTGGGCTACTTTTAGACGATTGTCCAAAAAGGAAAGCCTCAAAGAATCCATCATCACCTCCTGCCCAAGTGTACCAAGAACTCCTGCCTTAACGACTTCGGAGCAGTCGCCCTAACATCCATGGCCTTCAAGAGACGTGAGTGTATTGTCTTTGCGTGCCTGAAAACCTGCTCTACTCCCCTACTGGACTCTTCTCAGTTCAAATACAGAGGCAGCAGATCCCTTGAGGGTGCAGTTAAACCGACTCCCCAGCGAATCAGCTTTCAGATATTAGACTTGTCCAAAATTCATTTAAGAGATGTCACGTCAGCATGTTTGGCTAACTTTGCTGTGCATGTGTGAAATATCAATATGTCTGCGAGGTAGCTAAATGCATATGCAACACCCCTGTGCTGAAAGGAACATTTGAAGTGAGCAATGGCTCTGACGAATACATTACAATACTGCTGCCGGACATGTTCTCAATACAAATGTGAGTTGTTTACTTTTGCTACACAGTGAGCGTCCTACCTTTATGCTCAAAATAGATAAACATCATCTTCCCAGAATGCAATTTCTCATAGAAGTCGGCAGCGGTGTATTCAATTAGGTCCGATGTGTTGGCCTTCTCTGTGCATCCTCCTGACCTGGTCCACAACAGGACAGCAGCAATACACATCCACATTGTGCAGAGCAGACTGTATTTTTCTCTCTGTGAAACCAGGAGATGCAGAAGTGTTATCAGCATGGAGGAGTAAACAACAAAAGCACACATGAGAGAAAATAACTACGTTGTCTGTGCATTAATGTTTACTAGACAAACATTTATGAATAACAGAAACAGGAACTGTGCTCTGATAGTGTTTTTTCATGCCTAATCTCTCAGCTAAATGTCTACACATGAAGCAGCTGTGTCCCATTTATTACTCGGAATACACAGGCTGTAATGATGTCAGCTTTAGTTTCCAAAGGGTTACTCCATGTATGGGTCCCAAACAAACTATTAACACTCACTAGTAGTTCATAAGATTTGCACTGTTATATCTGTTGGTCTCTGAATAGAAACACGAGAGCTGTGAGCAAAGGAACAAGTAGTGACAACAGAGATGCTAGCTTACTGTTACCTGAGAAAGTCGGGGGAGGGTTAAGGTTCAACTTTTGTTTTTCCAAGTGGCAAAAACGTTAAAAGCCACAGTTACAACCGTGGAAAACGGAAATAAACACATTATGACGCCAATTATAAGCAGGAGTTTTTTCCTAGGAGTGTAAAATCCAGAGGAAAGTCCAAAAATGGCTTTAGTTAGGAATTTAGGTGATGCTAATTCATTAGCTATGCTTGTTAGCTGCCTATTGGTTTATATTCGTCCATGGGTTTTTAGAGCTAGCTAAAGTTAACACCTGTAAATTAAGAATAAACACGTCGACATGTGTCTGTGGGAGGTGTAGGCCACAGACATGGCTAGTTTGTAAGCTTATTTTTCGCGAAGCTAAACAGTGAAAGCTGAAAAATGTGTCTTAGAGGAATGATGCTCCATCAGTCAAGCTAATACAGTTGAAACTGTATTTCCGGTTACCATTTGAAAATAAAATCCTACATTGGCACGTTTGTTTTTGAGTAGTCCATACTACTCAGTACGATGAGCGCGACAATAATTCTGTACGTAAATGTAGTTAATGGGAATAAAGTTGTTTTATAGTTATAACTTATTCGTTGTTGTCCAAGGTTGTTGTCCCGTGCAAATCCAAACTTTTCGCTTTTATTTTGAAGGCAACACCCCTTTTCCGCAGACGCTGCTTACCTCTCACAAACTTGACGTGACTTTCTGCGAATTTGTTTTGATGCCTCTCTTTCTGCGAGGAACGCCCACGTGCTCCTATGAGCCAATCGGATTGGGGAGCAGTTTCGACTTGAACAAATGACCGATCACAAGCGTGCGGAGGACGGACACCTCCACAGCTGACATCATCATAAACCAATTAAGTGAGAGCGCTGTGGAGGTTGGGCGGCACGATTAACCAATGGGGAGGGGGGCACTGAGAAAGTGGGCGTGGACAGTTTGGTTCACTGGCGAGATTTAGCTCGGAAACTGGCTCGAGCTTGTGCCCCCGGAGTCAGCTGTTTCACATGAAAATGATACGGGTGTTGAGCCAAGATGGCGCCTCAAGCAGAGCTAGTTTCCGCTTTAATTTAGAGCAAGGGGCGGGTCTTAAACTGCATCACAGCTGATCTGGAGGTTTTTCCCCCCTCAAGTTGTTTTTTGCGGAGAGCAGCTTTGCAGAGAATCACAGGGGGACCTCTCTCTTGTTTCCTCTCTCGCCTTCTTGTTGTTTTTTTTTAACCCAGCTTCTCTAAAAACTAGACTCCAATTTTTCTTCAACACAATATCGGATTGAAAGCCCGGCGCAGTTTCAGCATGCCACTTGTTTTCAGAATAAACTGCTATTATCGCAATTTTTCACTCGAATACCCTCGTCTTTTTGTCATCCACGGTGAATTTAGCCCAGGTCTGACCCAGTTTTAGTGCTTTAGCCTTCACAGCATCCCATGTGTTAGTGCGAGCCGCCAGTGGAGATGTTTTCGGCAGGAGAGGAGGTTAATTCCCATTTGTTTACCTCACTGAAGGAGTCCCCTGGAGCTGCAATCTCCCCAACACTGGAGCTCAGTCTGACAACCATCTACACTGTCCTCTACTCTTTCCTGTTTGTTTTCGTTTACCTGCAGCTCTGGCTTATTTTGCACTACGGACACAAGCGCTTCAGCTACCAGAGCGTGTTTTTGTTTCTGTGTTTGCTGTGGGCAGCGCTGAGGACGACCCTCTTCTCTTTCTACTTTAAAAATGTGGTGCAGGCCAACCAGCTGCAGCCTCTGGCCTACTGGCTGCTCTACTGCTGCCCCGTATGCCTGCAGTTCTTCACCCTCTGCCTGCTCAACCTCTACTTCACACAGGTAGGACTGGACTGTGTGTGTGTGTGTGTGTGTGTGTGTGTGTGTGTCTGTGTGTGTGAGACAGAGAGAGAGAGAGAGAGAGACAGAGGTGTCTGAGAGGGTTTGCAGTGTTTGAGTGTATGTGTGTGTGACCTGATTTCATAAAATAGCTGACACTGCAATTTTGTTCTCAGTGTATTCATTTGATTTCACATGTAACGCCATACAAGCAAATGCCAGGTATTCTAGTCTATTCTACTGTATTCTGCCGAGTCCTCATTTGTTTGTACCAACATCACCCAACACACCGTGGGCAAAAGCTCTCCAAAGATACTCCGTTAGCTCAAGTTAAAGATACATCATGAATTTGCAGTAAACGATAAGTTGTTGTTTTTTAGACAGAGGCCCAAATGGATGTTCTAGTACAAACAATCAAATCAGAAGTTTCATGTTGTTGTTATTGTGAGCAATACCAGATCATAACAATGCATTACACAGTATATTATCCACGGATAGAGGTTGCACAGTACTGCGTGTATGACTGATTTAATGAGACACAAATAAGACAGAAGTTCTAATAAACAGTATACTGTGTGTTCATGCACAGAGCAGCCATCTTGGATTTTGATGTTCTGAAATCCGAATCGGAAATCTGACGTTGAAATTTCTGAAATTTCACACTGGGAATTCAGAAATTCCAACTTCCCAGTTTAAACTGAATGCACCATTAGACTAATTCAATATATTGGATAAACTATGATCTGAAATAATCTACTAATGAATTAACCTAATTATTGGTTAATTGATTAGTAGATCAGTAGAAAAACACGCAGTTTACTGGCAGTTTACTGGCTGATTAACTGATTAATTGAGAACATATCAGCAGAGCGGAATAATTTAGAATGAAAATAGTCATAAATTTCAGTCCTAGATTAAATTTAACACATTTTTACAGCTTTTAGGTCACTGTGCACAGCCAAGAAACAGTCCCTCAGATAACCCCGTGTAAATCAACAGCTTGTTCTCATACAAAACAAGCAAGATATAACGTGTTGGTTACTGAGCTTTTGAGGTGCTGGTAGATGCATTTTATTGCCTTTGGATAGCTTCCACTCTTTAAGCTACGCTAAGATAAGATAACCATCTTCTGGCTCCAACATAAAACTTCACTGATGGACTCGAGCGTGATATTTTCGTCTAATTCTTGGCAAGAAAGCAAATAAGCGCATTCCCTAAAATATCAAACTATTCCTTTTAGCAGCTCAGCATGCAGTAATGTGCGTGGTCAAGATGTAGCTGTTAAGACATGTTTGTTTCCCAACTTTAAAGTCACATTTTTTGCTTGTATGGTTTCCGCAATAGCAGTCATTCCCCGCAAAATGTATCTGCAGCAGTGGTTTCCTCTTCCTCAGAGGGGGAAATGTGGTCACTGTGATCATCGCTGGCCTACATAGGAGAGTGGGTTCACTGACTTTGACTTTTTGATTTGAGAGCTCTGCAGATTGACTGTTCATATCCCGGGGTGAGAGATGTGAAGTTCTCCTGGTAAAAAGCTCAGTGTTGCATTAAGTCCTGGCCTCCATTGACGTTTTCTGTCCAATACGTGGACAAGACTGAAGCAAATGTTCCTGTTAGCAGCACGTTATCCCAGAGGTGTGTGTGTGTGTGTGTGTGTGAGAGAGGGAACAGTTGGTCAGTCACTGTTGTTTAACACCTGCCTGCTCCAAATGTCAAAGACCTGTTTGTTTCTCTTGAACACCTACACGCTTTGGGGCCTCCAGTTGGTAACACCACGGCTTCAGAGGCAAACACAGCACGTAGCTCTATCACATATATGGGTGGAGATTAGGTAATGAAGCAAATGGTGTCATCTGACTGCTGAATAAACACTGTAGCACATCAGCTGATCTTTGACCAGTTAAGTTCCTACAAACTACACTCATTTCAATAAAAAGTAAATGTCCTCCTTTTTTTTTTTTTTTTTTGCTCTTTGTGTTATGTGCACGAAAACGGACATACCTCACATGTATGTGGCAACAGCGGCCTTTTCCCTTTCCGCCATCACCAACAAAATGGTGTTCTTCCATATCTGCTGAACCCATCATTATAGGTTTAAAAATATGCATCTATATCTATGGTGGGAATGCCATGTGACTGGCCAGCTCAGTGAACAAAGTTTTCCTGCCTGTGGTTTGTGTCTGGCCTGGTCAGACCTGAGTAATATCATATTTTCCTCTTCAGCAGAAACTCAGCAAACTGGAAGCTCCGCGACCGTCGTGCCGCAGCGCTGCAGGTCTTGACCCATATCCAAAGAGGGCACACCTGTCTGAACGTTTAACATTAAAGATGCTATAATCAATATTTTTACGTTAACAACGGAACACATACCTACTTTTATATGAGGGGTTGTTCATAGTGACAAACCCACAGAGAGTTATCGCTAACTATTTAGCTTCCTTTAGTTCATCGTTTCAGTTTTTGTATCCTGCAACTTTACCTTTATCCCATTTTGTTTACAGGTCAGCTGGTTGGCCAATACGCACATGAATGATAGACTTTCATTGGACGACAAATTGCTGTTCTTTTTTGTGTGTTTATGCGACAACTATCGGCTGAGAAATACACAACTTGTCTAACATTTTCCCCTCCTGTAACCGGACAAACCGACTCTCCTGTGCCCCACCAGGCATTACATTTTAAATCATTCAGGCCCCTCACAGGGTTCAAAGTAGTAATGCAACTAATATATTGAAATTTTATTTCTCAGTCCAAGGTAATCTAATTGTTGCAGCTGTGGTCCACAAGATAAATCTCAAACGTAACGAGATGCTAAATGAGGTTGTAGGGAATCAAATATATTCCTTCCACAGAGTTCAACGGTTTCTTTAATTGTTTTACTCCTTTAGGACTCAGTAAGTGATTCAAATAAAACACCTGAGAAAGTGCAATCACTGTTGTTGACCTGCTAATGCCAAAAAGGTTGGGAACCACTGTCTTAAACTATAATTAATCAATGACACAGCGTGAGGCTGCACTCTGTTTTAATTATTTTAGGGGGAACTTGAAGTGCCCTCACTGTCTGATCAAAGTGTATAAAGCATCATCACTCACTGTTTGTCTCCAGAAGCTGAACAACAGTGCAGAGCTGTGCTGTCTGCACACAGACACAGAAACTTTGACTCCAGTTTGATTATTAATTTGTTTAACCAATGTCACAGCGCAGTTCCTGCATTAGTGCTTCACTGCTGGACAGCACTGTTTAATGTTGAACTCGCCGACGGTAATAAACACCGTGAGCTGAGAGCTGATATAACATCAGGCCACATGTGACACCGTCTGACACACACACAAACGCATGTGTGGAAATACTGGTTTTCTGATGACTCAGGCCGATGAGGCCCGACCTGTGATTTACTTCCCCGGAGCAAATTTTACGAGATAAGTACACATGTCAGTTAAAGACTCCAACACCATCTCTACTGAAAGAAAATGTTGATTTAGCCGTATTATACATAGATGTCTGTGGCGCGCACACACACACACACACACACACACACAGTATACATACAGTGTGTAATCTGGTTGTTCTCTGTTGGCTGGTTGCTTCATTTCTAGGTTGCAAATGACCTCCTCCTGGCCTACATTCTCACACAAAAGGCTGAGTGTTGATGTGTGCGAGTGTAGGTGTGTGTGTGTGTGTGTGTGTTTAAACTGAGTGTTGACTGTGTTGCTGTGTGCCAATATGAAAAATGAACCATTATCACCAGTAATCGGATCATTTGAAGGGTCTGAGAGACTTTGATTAGACTGAGCAAAGATAATGTTGTTTACATCTGTTTGTGCCACTTCATAACTTAATAAGCTTCTTTTTTTTTTTTGCATTTTGGTAAACAACTTTTCAAAAGCAAAAAGTCATTCCAGGAAGTGAGTGTTAAACTAGATCAGTGGAGGCCAGTGTCCCAGCTTCTGTACACTTCAATGGGACTTGTGCACACTTTGATGTTTGTTTTTTTTTTAAGGTCACTGCTGATAACATGTTGGCAGCAAAGCAGCTGGCAGTTGATATGTTGTTTTTGTCGGCCAGTCTTTAGATTATTTTCACACCAGACAATACAATCAAAATAATAATCTTTAGGTTTTGTGGTGTTGAGCCCCGGGACACTACAACAGGCATTTTTAACTATTTCCTGACATTTTATAGACAAACAACAAAATAATCAATGAATGGAAATGAAATCAATATAAATAACCAAACAAAGAAATCAAAATGTAAAGCACGTTGCTTCCTTTACATTTTTCCTTGGATCAGCAAATGAACAGGATGTTGAGTTGCTTAAGTCGTAGAGAGAAAGAAGCAAAACAGACATTTATTGATAAAAAAATGTGTGAACGTTGCAGATGTTTCCAAACTGAGACAACATTGTTTTAAAGTCCAATTTAGATTATTATATGCCTGTTTTTACGTTGCTACAGCGCAGATCTGCTCTTTAAATTACATATACGTTGTTCTGTCTGTACAGCTGCTAACAAGCCGCTGGTTCTTTGTTGGGCCATTTACATAATGTGACTGCATTACACAGCTTCTGGCTTACATCTCCTTCTTATCTACAATTAGGAAAGGTTAACAGATAATATTACATAACAGTAGATAATAGAGATGATATTTGTCTAAATGTTGCTGCCAATATGTCAGTCCCTTTAATGACTCTGGTTGTTTATTGTGCCCGACGGGGGATTTGGCTCACAGACAACAATGAATCATAAAATACTAAAACATTCAGCAACGATTTAAATAAAGAACAATAAAAACAAGTTAATGCAACATCACTGTTATTGTTGCTTATTACTAAAACCGACAGAAGCCTTAACACATCAACAGCTGCTTTCACCATGAATTACATTTTATTTTAAGAGCCAACAGCAACAGAATAAAAGACCTCATATATATGTGTTAGTGCCTCCGCTGTCCTGATGGAAGCGAATGAAAGTGAATGTGAAGAGGCTGCTGGGAGACCGGGAAGATGACCTGTGCTTTCTTTGCTGATGCACGTGTACAAGGACATTTGGGTCCATGTTACAAAGCAGTGAGCTTTATGATATTATTGGGTTTACAGGCTTTTTTAAATTTTTTTTGCATTGATTTGATTTGAACTTATTTCAAGGACCTTGTTTGTGAGGTATTTTATTGACCAGATCATCCAACAGACATTTCTATGAGGTTATTTTTTGCATGAACAGTTTCTGAATTGAATTTCCAAAAATGTACTTAATCATTTGCAGCAGTTTGTCCTGCTTACCTTTTTCTTCTTCTTCTTCTTCTTCTTCTTCTTCTTCTTCCTTGCCTTTTTCAGCTCACCTGTAATCACATATGAATTTCAGTTTATTTGTATTTTATGCAATTAAAAACATTTTAAAAAATATATATATAAACATAACATAACATTAATTATGCATTTCCTCCTACAGTTTTAAAATTAATGTGTCAAATCATACCTGCAGATGTCAAAATCAGTCAAATTCAATGTCAAGTGTGTGTGCGTGTGTGTGTGTGTGTGTGTGTGTGTGTGTGTGTGTGTGTGTGTGTACTTCAGTGACACACAGGAATCTCCTCAGGCTCTGTTAAGTTCACACTCTGCTCCTAAAAGAATCTCACCACCACTTTGTCCTCTGTCCTCCTACCTCATTTTCACATGCTCCACTTGGTCTTTATTTTATTAAATGAATTAAATATCCCTTGTATAAACTGATAATACATTGTTAAAAGATCATAAAAATTATATATATGTAATAATATATTTTCTTTTCTTTCTTTAGGTGATGTTTAAAGCTAAAGCCAAGTATTCCCCAGAGCTCACCAAGTACAAGTAAGTCTGTTACTGTATTGATGTTGCTGTTTTTTATGTAAATTGCAGTTTCTTTTTTTTTTGGTTTGTTCGTAATTTGACTTTTAGTTGGAAAATATTTCAAATGAAACTGTCAATATCTACATCTAATGTCCTTGATTGTTAAAAGCAGGAATTCAGAGTATGGTTGTATGGTTTTAATAAGCTATCTCCAGACTTTGTTTGTCTGCTTCGACAGAACAATATGAATTTTAATTAGTTGTTGGAAACTGTAGGAATACATTTGTTTTGGCCCTCCTCTTACTGACTGTATTTCCTTTCATCTTTATCTCTCCAGGGTTCCTCTGCGTTTGTTCTTCCTGTCTCTCAGTATATTTTTCCTGGTGGTGAATCTGACTTGTGCGTTGTTAGTGCAAGGAGCTCTGGAGCGCTCAGAATCGCCAAGGTAAACAACAACACAAAAAATGCTATCAATAGAACATTTCCTCCTGCATATTAGTGTGTGAATATGAAGACGTTGAGTTATTATTATAACAAGTTAATAACCTTCATGTCTCCAGTGATGGGGGGATCAGACATGCAGTCCTGGCCCGTGTCCTGATCAACGACAGTCTCTTCGTCTTGTGCGCCATCTCTCTGGCCGTCTGCATCTTCAAAATTGCCAAGATGTCCTCAGCCAACGTTTACCTGGAATCTAAGGTGAAACCATAACATCACTAATTGCAGACTGCATTTTACTCAGGCAAAATGATTGCACGGCTGCTTTGTGTTGAGAAATTGAACACTGATAACTAAGGCTGAACGATATGCAAAAAAAAATCATATTGGGATTATTTTGGCAGATATTTCAGTTGTGATACGAGTCACAATTTCAGGTGAAATGATCGTTTTTGCATTTAAATTTTACTGAAAATTTAAAAAACATGCTTGAAGCAAAAGAGCATTTTACCTTATGTCTGGAGAACATGATTTGTATGCTGTATGTATGATTTGTGGTGCTAATAACAATGCAAAAGATAAATTCATTGTCATCTATTTGACAGATATAAACAATAAATGGGGACTAACGCTTATATTTATGTCGCCTAAAACTCAATTTCAGTCATTTTGGTGACGAGAGACCTGTGTTATATTTGTGGATCACATCTGTGGCCCATATCTGCCATTCAATTACAGGCCAATAGCTGTGATACATGAGTGTAAGCCTGTAATAACCGCAGTAACTCTTCCTCCAGGGTACGTCTGTGTGCCAGGCCACCGCCATAGGAGCCATGGTGATTCTCCTCTACACATCCAGAGCCTGTTACAACCTGGTGGTGGTGGCTCTGTCGCCACAGGACAGACCTAGCCCCTTTAATTATGGCTGGTACAGCGTATCTGACCAGGTAATGTACCAAGCATGATGTAAAATAAGATATATAATAACAATAATAAGATTTATTTAGCCAGAAACCTAGACTCCAGTGTGTATGTGTGTGTGTGTGTGGACAATCCATGTTAGGAGATTTGGGAAAGCAATGCTTAGTGGGGTAAAGGGCTTTGTTTGGCTATAAATAACCATGTGTGTGTGTTTGTGTCTGTGTGTCCTGACCTACATCAGGGCTCAGGCCTTGAGATGGGCAGCCCATCTGAAAGTGTTTCATCATGTGTGTTTCTGTGTGTATGTGCACAATGTGTATGTGTGGGCATAATCTGACATCACAAATTATTCCTTTAATCTGTCTGTATAACAGCTGTCAGAGGCGAGCATCTCATTATGTCCCTACTCTGTATATTTGTGTCTCTGAGTGTGCATCAGTAAATAGCTGACTGATAATTTCCTGTTTGTGGTGCTTTTAAATGTTAAATGTAGCTAAAGCCAAGGAGTGCTAGGGCTAAATGAGCCGTATCACCAGTGCTGGATAATGAATAACTCAGGGGGGGAAAGGTTAGGTCACCGTTTGCAGAGTTACAGGAAAAGTTTGACATATTGGCAAATTCACTTATTCACTTTGTTGCCGAGAAATTAGAAGATCGATGCTGCTCTCGTCTTGTGTGTGGTAACTACCTAGCTTAGCATAAAGACTGCAACACGAGGAAAGAGCTAGTGTGGTGTGACATTTTGGGAGATACACTTACGTGATAGTTTAATGAGTTATATGATAAGATTGACACGACTCTCTTCTTTGTGAGGTAATTACGTAGCCAGAGCTAGCAGGCAATTAGCTTAGGTTAGCAGGTGGGGGAATGGGAGCATTAGCATGTTCCATCTTGTTACTTTAATACATATACAAACTAACATATAAAAACAACAAGCTAATGCTTTATTGTGAGTTGGTAAGTTGTATTAAATGAGTAAATCAGTGCATCATATAGTGTATGTGTGTTACAGGCTGACGTGCAGGAGATCAGTGGTGAAGCCTACATCGTGTTTGGGATCATTTTGTTCTTCTGGGAGCTGCTACCGACCAGCTTAGTGGTGGTTTTCTTCAGAGTCCAGAGACCCAACCAAAACCTGGTATAACAACACCTTTAAAGTGCAAATGGACTGTGGACTTTCTCAAATCTAACAAACCATAACGACACTTTAATATCTCTATATCTGTCAGGCTCCAGGAGGGATGATCAACAGCCACAGTTTCAGCTCCAGAGCTTATTTCTTTGACAATCCTCGACGGTATGATAGTGACGACGACCTGTCCAGAAGCATTAACAGTAGGGCTGATCGAGCCAGGTGGGCACACACACACACACACACACACACAAGCACAGATAGTCTATCAGAATCTGTTGTTCAATTAACTGATTTGCCTTTATCTCTTATCGTCTCTCTCTTTCCTCACCTCCTCTCTCTGCCTCTCAGCCTTCTCTCCACCACTCCCCAGCTGGGTGCATCCAGTTGGTATGGCTCCATCCAATGTAACGGGACTCTGACGGCGGGCGTTGCGTCAGCCCAGCAACCGCCATCTTCCACCGCCCCCGTCCTCTTTGCCTACGGGAACATCCAGAGTCACCACCACCACCACAACTACTACTCCACCCCACAGAACAACAACTACCACCACCATCATCACAGTAACTTCTATTCCACACCACAGAATTATTACTGCGGGTCTCAAACATATTTCTGCACCCCACAGAATTAAGCATAAAACAGACTAATATCTTAATGATTGTCTGCATTTGCGTCACCATTTTGCTTCCCCAACTACATCAAAGCAGGTACCTTTGAGAGATAATCTGAAAGATTGCTGAGGACCAAGTTGGGCATAAAAATTGGTTTACCAATTTATTGAAGAAATGTGGTGGAATCAGCCACTGGGAAGGTGTTGTGCCATGACAAACTGCTTTTTGAGGACTTGCACCATCTGTAAATGGCGTGAATGGACCAGAATAAAAGCAAGCGCAATCCATGGACCAGAGTTTTAGCACCAATATGGCTAATACACCTAAAACTGCAAAGACCAAACCTTTACTGTTAAATGTTTTGGTCAGATTATCATTTTTAAAAGTGGAATCATCAGGGACCAGATAATCATCGTTCTCATTTTCTCTTTTTTGCATTCCTTGCAAATTTTATTCAGTTATGCTTCTGTGGGAGGTACAACAATGCATAGAGAGGATCCATGTAGCAGGCTTATCAAGTTAATGTGGCTAATGCTAATCTGTAAATCAAGATGTTATATTCACTCAGCATTTGTCAAACTTTTAGTGGTCAAAAATAGGTTGTGTTACTGTTTTTAGTGGGTACGCATATGATCCTAGCGTGCTAATAAACATAAAAAAAGGGTCATTTAGGCTGGAAAAAAAAAACAGTGAAGGATTGACTTTGATCCTCAAAAAGACTTCTCTGACTATAAAAACCAAGATTTATGGTGTTTCTCACTTTTAGGTCTGACTACATTTGGACAGGAATTAGCTGTTGCTAATTTGCCTTTAGCTGTTCGGGTAGTGAGGGCTAGCTTCTAGCCGACGCTAACAGTTAGCTTAAACTCACAATCTTTTTAACCACCAAAACGAACAAAAAGAGACCCAACAAAGTTGAAATACGAAAAGAAAATTAAACGTTTCCATCACAGACTTTGTTTTACTAACTTATTGGTAGCAAACACGTTTTCAAACTGTGATAGTTAACGGAGCTATTTGTAAGTTTTGCTATTGCTACGTAGCTACCGTTAGCATTAGCAGCTGTTTACTTACCAGTCCATAAGAAACGATGCGAAACTTCATTCCTTCACTCGCCAACAGCTGTCTCTAGCAGTGAAAACTCAACACCAATGTTAACTCTTGTCTGTATCGCGTCCTTTCTTCCACTGAAGTTAGCATGCTAACTTCCAGCTAGCCAGCTAGCCTCGGCCCGCCTCGTCTCTTTCCGATAGCGATTCACCGTAGCCTCTATCCCTGAGGATGTAGCGCTGCTCAGAGGGTGTATTATAACCTCTTGTCTTGCAAACGCAAAAATGGCTGAAGCTCTTGTCAAGCAACAATCACCACCACCTGCTACTGGCAAGATACCACATGCAACGGCAGAGAAAACTTACAAATAGCTCTTAGCTCAAAAGCTAATTTGGTGCCACACAAATAGAAAGTTGTACAAACGGCGTTAGCATTCTTGACTTTAGCCTGTCCACAAAGTCCTACTTTACAATGGATTCTTGTATAGTTTGACATGTAAAATAAGCTTCTTTTTTTTTGTGCAATTTTCATTACTGACAGGAATCAAAATACTAGTAAATTTATTTCACAGTTCACAAATATCATCTGTGTAAAGTTCTTGCAGCCTCAAAATATGTGCCGCCAAATCCAGGCTAACCCACAATTGTACAATAGAAACTATGTGAAAACCTAAGACTGGAGTGGCCAAATTCCGTCACAGTGCAACTACATAGCCTACACTGTCAAAACGCATTTTACACAGCAGCAACGTTATCAATATGCTTCAGATTAAAGTTGCAATATGTAATTTACATTCAGCATTGGTGGAAAAATCAGCCCTAAGATTGTTTGTTGTTTGATAACAGGGTGGAAGAGTCTCTGAAACAATATTTTTTTGACCAAAAACTCTTCATGTTCTCTGATCTGTTTGTGAGCTGTGAGACAACAATTTGCACTTAGAAGAAATTCACCCTCAGAGAAAAAAGGCTTTGGAGCCTGAATGTAGGATTTCATCTCCTTATTTGATGTATTTTCTTCAATTGTTGTCTGTATTCTGTATGTTGCTATTTATCCTTTGAGAAAGGAAATATCAATGTGCCATCACATTTTTGTCATATCTTAGAGTTTTTCGTTCATTCGTTTAGGAAAATATTTTTGCACAAGAAATGGTGGGATGATGTATGTTTTGAATCGTTTGTGTGTCTCCAAGCTAATCGATTTCTAATCCAAGTGTGAGATTTGTGACATTTTGAGTCAGTATGTGTGTGATTTTAGATTTTTGTTTTTGAAGTTTAGTATGCTTTTATACATTATTTTTTATTTTACGTTGATTTTTACTGTCTAACAGATTTTATAGTTTATTTTTTTCACTCTCCCTCTCCTTCTGTTATTCATAATCTCACACATTTCCTGAATCTCATGACTGACTGCAGTCTGTAAGCAATATTTACTTTAATTGAACATTTTTGCTTATGACCCAGTTCTCAGACCAAAATCAGTGCATCTGTGTTAACTAAGTTTTTCAGGACTGAGGGGGAAAAAATGCTATCCATGTGTTCTTTAACACCGTGGTACTTCAGCACACTCAATCTGTAAATGACCATGTACACTTCTGACTTCATACAAGACAACAAAGAAGCAACATTGCAGCTGGGTTTAACTTTAAGCTGCGAGAACACTGGTACTGTTTCTTGGAGTTAATTACCAGTGAAGTCATTTAGTTGAAGTAGACCGCTGTTAAAGCATCTCTCGTATCAACAAGTTTCACAGGACACATTAAAATACAGTGAAGGCAGTGAACGTCTCATCGTTGGGTCCAGCTGTTCAAATCATTTCTGAAGAAACTAACATCTGCAGTGCATGCTTCTGAATCAGAGTGCAAGAACTCAGTGTCATATTTTCCTTCCAAGGTGATATTATTTGTGTGGAAATGTTATTTGATCTATCTGCTCTGAAAAGGCAGAGGTAATTGTTTTATGTTGTTTTATCCGTGGCCATACTGAATGTAACCTATTGTGTGACAGATCACTAATGATGTATGCAAGAAAAGCACTACCATGATTAAATAAAGGCCTACTGCACTGTTTTTAAGACAAATGTGAACCAGAATATTCATACATATATATATATATTATATTATAATATATATATATATATATATATATGTGTGTGTTGATAAAGTGTGATAAGTACATAAGAAAATCAAATTACCACCAAATGCACACTGACATGAATGTCCTGATTTCATTTGCTCCTGTGGATCCGACTTGTTCTGACTTTTTCCCACCAACACCGGTCATGTGGGGGAATTTACCAGTTAACAAGTTTATGAGGAACATCTGAATGAAGTCAGAGACAGCAGCTGGCCAGCTCAGTGCAAAACACAGGCATGTTTTTTTTTGCCATTTTCCTTGACATAAACATATTTCAGGGAACTATTAGTGAAATCGCTGTGCCAGAAAATATAACATGAAGATATTTTATTTATTAACAAGCTTTGCAAAGACTGATCGTTTATTGTTCCAAAATAACATTTTACAAGCACATTCTCAAAGTCTGATCAATCGGTTCATACAGCATGAAAGACAATGAAATAAAATGGTAATCCAGAGTGGGGACACGCAATACTGACAAATAATCTCCATTGTGTTGAATATTACAATTGAAACAAGCAAATAATGTGTTCTCCATGTTTGACGTACCTGAACACAATGATGATTTCAACAATGTGCAAATTCCTTTACAGTCCAGAGTCTGGATCCTGACTTACAGAAAAATCTGATCCCTGTATGGCTGCATTAGGATTTATACTTATTTGTAATATATTAACATTTTTCTATGTTTTTGAATCATAGTCCCAAAGCAAACAAAGAAACCATCATCTCCTGTTGTATAAAACTAAAAACTTTCAACAGCAGCATGAGCTGAAGGTTGTAGAAAGAAAGCGCACTTAAAGCATTTAGTGTTAGATGCCAACTTCAAAAGACGTAACATGTTTTTATATTTCAAATAATCGAAAGCTGACTTTTTAAAAAGGCTGAAATTCAAAAACACACATGTAAGAGTTTCCAGTGTTTCCAAAGTCCCCAGATATTCACTATTCAAAAACGTTTTCACTGGAAGATGAATAAAACTGAAATCATACCTGTAAGAAGGTCATTGATATGATCGCTAGTCTGATTTGATTCTTGGTGAAACCCTTTGCTTTCCCTCTTCCAGGAGGTCAAAGGTCAAACGAGTCACACTGAGCTGGTGTTTTAGTGTTTTGCTAAAAGGACACAAGGGAGGAGACGCTTTCTGTCACAAGGCTCTTTCTCAATGATCAGCACCATCCGACAAAACGTTGGTAACATCAACAAAAAAAACAAAATCTGTTATTAAAAATATTGAAGGCATCTCGGTTGTTAGGCCTCAGAGTTAAAACACACACACACACACACACACACACACACACACACAGCACACACACACACACACACACACACACCCCAAATGTAATCTTGTCCATTAAAAACCAGTTCTGGAAACTGGGGATGAACATCTTTAACTAATTAAGTTTTAATTAAGTCAACAACTCCGGTCTTCTATAATTAAGTAAAGGATTTTATGAAAAATCGGACCTGCTGGGAGATGGTGACGTAAAACACTAAAAAGATAAGAACATTTTCTCCCAATGACGTTACCGAGAAGTTTCCAGATCATTATGAAATTATTTAAACTTTTAACTTCATCACAATTTTTCTCATTGACTTTCTCATTGAACTGTTTAAAAAGCCCAGACTGACCAGGCAGAAATCTGGGTCATATATTAATCTTGAACTTAAGCAGCTGATTGGAGGTTGAACCATGTGGGAACACAGCAGCTACTTTAAATGACAAAGTGATGGATATAAAAAAGTTTCCCTGCTGTGTTGTCTTGGTCCCTCCAGCAGTTTCTCACTCTTTAGTTTAGAGTGATGATAGAAGACTTTTCCTAAAATCATAATTTCAAATGTTTCTTAGTTCCCAGTTTTAAAAAAAAAATCATAGTGGGTCCCGAACCAGCGGCGATGACGCCATCACAAAAGGTCACCGTGGAGTTTCAGAGTTCGTCGTCATCGCTGCTGTCCCACGACGCCAGGCTTGAAGATCTACGAGGGAGGAGCTTGTGCTTCTGTCAGGACTCCTCTCCCACCTCGTGGTTGATCACATGGTGGTATCCCCGGCTGCTGGTTGGTTCTTTCCGCCAACAAATAATCCCGAGGAGGAGGACGATGAGGAAGAAGAGCAGACAGCCGGACACCGCCAGACTGATGATCACCTCTAAAGATCGGAGAGATAAAAGAAAGCAAATTGATGAATGGTGGCACAATCTATCATCTTTTTTTATTTTTTTATTCTCGCAGTGTGAAGTTTTTTAATTGAGAGTGTGTGTGTGTGTGTGTGTGTGTGTGTGTGTGTGTGTGTGTGTGTGAAAAGCTCACCTTTATCTCTCCCTTCAGAGGGCAGCTGACACTCTTTGTCCCTGTCGTCTGAGATAGAGAGCTTTGTAATTCTCACAAAGTCCTCCAGGGGGCAGTGAAGGGAGCAGCCTGGTAACTGCAGCGGGTACGGAGCCGCTGTGCTGTCGTTCCGGTAAAACATGGACACAGAGGCAGAGCTGGAGGCGGCGAGAGGAAGAGAGACGACAGGTTTTAAAGTCAAATATTTACCATCAGCAGTTTTCACCCTAAAACAGCAGATTTAGACTTACACACAAATCCTAAACTGACTGATTCTGAGCCTTGAATATTTTAAAAGCATTTTTTAAATCAGTTGGTTAATACATGCTTTTATTTTTGATTCAGCAGTTAAATTTCAAAGTAAAAGTCTATTTATTTCCCCCCCTTTCTTTCTGATGTTGGCTCCTCGAGTCTGTGTGAGTCAGTATTATGCTTGAGTAATTGTCTCTTGTGTGTGTGTGTGTGTGTGTGTGTTTTACCCGTTGTCATCCCTGTACAGCTCAAATATTTGACAGGAAGCGTATGGTGGCTGTTTTCCATTGAACACATTCAAGCTGGCCTGAAGAGCAGCTACAGTGGTGTCATGCTGTGGAACACACACACACACACACACACACACACACACACACACACACACACACACACACACACACACACACGTCAGATGAGAAGGTCCAATACTACTCATGTTTGTACACTATGAGTGAAGCTAAAGCCAGTAGCTGGTTAGCTTAGCATGTACCAGTCATTCAAAAACAATAACTCTTATCCTGTGAGTGTTTTAACTCGCTCACCGCTGACAGCATCATCAGTTTGAGTCGCTGTTTTGGGTCGGGGGCGGCCATCTTGGAGAGATTCTTCACTATTTCGCCCAACAGGATACCTGAAAGACAGGGAGCAATTTCCACATTTAACCCTGTATTTAAAGGGTAAGTCTGGTGATATTATAAAGTTTCCTTATTGTCAACAAATCCCATGAAAAGATAAGAAATTAGTAAAACCACTGTACACACTGTAGTTTATTTTGACTCAGTTCAGTAGTTAAATGAAACTATGTATTCATGAGCTCAAATGTGAGGTAAGAAAATGAAAACATGAAACATTTTGTCTCTTTTAAGAATGAACTTTCCGTCCCTGAGCTACGCACACATACCTCCCTGCAGCCGGCTCTTCTCCTGTTGTTTGTAGAACCCAAATATGACCTGTAAGAAATCAGACATCAAACTATAATTACAATTAAATTACAATACTTTTAAATTCTGTAACTGAAGCGACGGTAAACTGCTTTTACCTGAAATCCAAAGTCTTTGAGCACTTTGAGCTTTTCCATCACATCAGGAGTCACCCAGTCAGGAGCTGACTTGTTGTGAATGGACTGAACACACACACACACACACACACACACACAAACACACACACACACATCATGAAAAACCAAGATAAATACTAAAAGAAGAATTTCTAAAATCTTTAATTAAGCTGTAATTAAGTTGACAAACTGTCCTTTTGTCCGTGTCAGCACTTTCTCAGCAGCTCCACCCTCACCTCCGTCTCTCGGCAGCCATGTCTCACATTGCTGCTTAATTATTGTGCGGCTGAACTAAGTGACCCAGCTGTCCCTGATTTCATATTAGCCCCTGTTACACAGTCAGCTCAAGGCGGGAATGTTGCTTCTTAACGACCGTGAAGCAGCATCTCTATGTAAAAGTGGAAATTCTAGATACTGATGTCGGTATTTTTATTTATTGACAGTAATAAAGCAGATTGATGGTTTTGGCATATGTGGTTCGCTGAACGCAGAGGCCTTTGTGAACCAAATAACACGGTCCTGTTCCTCAAACTGTGTGTTTGCCAGAGTGTCCATGTGTTCCTCTAAACTGCTGAGGCGGGCGGGTGGAGTCACAAGACTAAAACCAACACTCATCAGTCACAGATTAGCCCATCAAATGCTTCACTTCAATAAACTTTTCTGTTGAAATTCAAACAGCTCGTCAATTCGGTCTCGAATAGTGGGGGGCGTTCAAGGCTAAATGTTTCCAGTATGTCTGTGCTGTACGGGCTGGTGCATGTACATTTCATAAAGTTTAATATCTAACTACTTCCCATAATAATGTCAGTGAAAGGTCGTGTTTCTGAGTCCACTGAACACATCAGAAGATTTTTTGGAAAATACAAACTGGGACAAATCAACAGATGTATGAATACAAAAATTTGAGGTTTTCACTTCCTGTTTTCACTGGCGTGTGTTTTTGTCAGTGTGTTCTCACCTCACAGAAGAGTGTGTCATACACACTCCAGACTGACTCCACATTGGTCTTGTTCAGTCCTGTTTTATTCCTCACCAGCTCTATGATGTCCTGAAGAGAGGAGCACAGTCAGATCTATAAGCACATACCTACATCTGTATCACGTTAGAAAATTCATTCATTTTTTACTGTTATAGCTACTCATTCATTTCTTCTTAAAAGCAACCCCGCCCACCTAGAAACATCATATGTATTTTTCTTATTAAAGATAATGAAATAAAAACAAAAAATACATTAAATTTCAAATAAAAACTGAAAAATAAAATGACAAATTCCACATTTTATTTATTCATTTAACTTTTTGATTTTATCCTCTGTAATTCACCTTCCTACATTATGGTGTAAATGAGAAAGTAACTAATTGAAGGTATTTATACTATATCACAATCAGGCTAAAAAAAATGTAACTTCCATACAGACATTGTATACTGAGGATATGACCTCAGCGTCCTCTATGGAAGCTACAGCTGATCCTAGCACAGATATAATTTCATAAAGAAAAGAAAAGAAAAGAAAAGAAAAGAAAAGAAAAGAAAAGAAAAGAAAAGAAAAGAAAAGAAGTACCTGGTACTTGGTGGTGACATTAATAAATTCCTGTGTGTGCTCAGTCTCATTCATCAGCTGTTTGTAGCGAGGACAGTCTCCCAGAGGAAACGAGAGAAGCTAAAATAAGAGACAGAGTTCAGACAAAGTGCTTTGAATCACTTTCAGCTCTCTGCACTGATCAAACCCGCTCACGTACATACCCTCTCTTCACTTTGTGGCACAGTGTGTACAGGTATTGGCTGCCACCTCAGGCTGGGTTTGAAGACCTGCGGGCCACTGGGGGGGTAGAGACCTAGAGGAGCAATAATAATAATAATAATATTAATAATAATACAGACTGTTATGGGAGGAAGAGGAAGAGTCTTGCAAAGTGAAGTAGCAACAAAAGAGAAGCAGGAGGAGGAAGAGGAGTGAACTGATGCTCAGACCTGCCAGGTTGGCCTCGGCGCTCATCAGGGTGCGATCGTAGTCTGTGCTGCGGACTGAGATCTGAGGACAGAGGAGCGGCTTGGTCATCAGAGAATTGAAATAGACAGCATTAAATATACAGAGAGTTAGAAGAGAGGTGCTAATAACAGACTTTCTGTTCATATACAAGTGCGAGCACTGGATAATTAACTGCTCCCATTGGAAAACCCCCCCCCCACTTTTCCATCATGGTCCAGGAATTCCAGCACCAGTGGGAACCCTGTATAACACCAACACGCAGGAGGCCCCTTCTCCTAAATATTAATGAATCAACATGTGTGTGTAAAGGTTCGGGTGAGGGGGTCATGTGATCCGAGAGTCCGTCTCTCACCTCATGTCTGTCATAGGATGCGTTGAGGAATCCGTTGTATCGACTCCTCAGAAACTGGCCCAGGTCAAAGTGCTGCCTCATCCCCTCCTAGAAACACACACACACACACACACACACACACATCCAACTGACATTAGACCGCTGATGACATCACTGAGTGTAGTTCACCTTTACTGATTAAAATAGCATTTTGCATTTCCTGAAGGAAATGTGTGGGCTTGTTGTGCTACTCACACACGACTGGCTTCATTATTAGATGACTGTATAAGTGTCTACAGATGCTTCGTAATGAACACAATGGGACTGAACAGGCCTCCATAGACTTTAATAATATTACAGAACTCACAGTTAATCATGAACTGTGCACATCATCATAATAACTTCATTTACAGTTGATCAGTGTGTTATACTGAGCATTTTGAAACATAAATACAATCGAAGTCTATGGGATCGTTTTTAATAACAATTCATCGCTTCCATCTACAAAGAAGCTCAGTAACTATGCAAATGTGTTTCACACAGGTGAAGTCAGGCAGGCTGTACCTGTGATAACTGTCCGAAGCCTTGTGGCCAGTCGCTCTCTTGGTGCGGGTCCGTGGGATAGGCTTTGACTGGTGATCTGTCACCATGCCGGAACAGCTGGAGGGGAAAGAGGAGAGACGTCTGGTAACACAGCACTAAGGACACACACTGTACAACTGCAACAACAGCACTTCCTCTTTGGCATAAAAAACTGTATTTTTCATTATCCTAAAAACTGAAACTGAGTAAAATGACTCAAGCATTGCTGCATGGAGACAACGTTAGGAAAATATTTTTGAAATTAGACTAGCAGGGTTGGATTTCAGCAGAATGTTTCACAATTTGGAAACTTTCATCGTTTCATCATGTGACTTTTGTTTTACTTTATAAGCACAATTAAAAGCCCAATTCCCCACTGCTTGAGAGTGTATATCTGCATTGCTGTAACTGAAGCGACGGTGCTTATTGTTCTGCCTTTATCACATAAAACCTTTGTAAAACTTCACCCTCAAAAACATGAAGCCAAAACCTTGGTCCTAGTTTCATTTGTGTCACTGGTGATTATAAAATCCAGTCAGCTGACAGTAGAGACCTCACCACAGAGACACTGTAATGTCAGTTATCTAGTCAAGCAGCTCCATGACACATTTGCATGAAGATGATTAAAAACTGCAGTAACAGCTGTGTCCAGAAATGTTTTTAAAAAAAAAAGTCTAAAAGCCATTAAAAATGTGATATATGGTTTAAAACAGAGGTAAGGTGCTAAAGAAACACAGGGACAAACACCACAGCATCCTTACTACTACAGTCCAACTGCTATTGTTGGCATAGGTTGACAGTAGTTAATTCAGTCTTGTTACTCGATGCCACCACATCAGCTGTCCATTCAAGCAGAACGGTTTCAAGTTTCAGTCTTCGAGCCGCTAAAGAGAAGTGTGGTTTTCTGGGTTTCCTGGTCTGAAGAGAATGCATGACTGATCTTATTCAAAATAGCTGAAAAAGTGTGTAACCTCTATTTCGAGGGTGGATAATCCCTTTACAACTCTTAATCTTATCTGCTCCACAATCCATGAATGGCTATCTAGCAGGCAACTGGGTAACGGTTTCTACGAATGAGTGCAAAAATAGGAAGCATTGAGCTTAGCGACTTGAATAGCTGCAACAGTCACGTAAATAAAACTTTCACATGAGCAAATCTACAATGACCTGCTGACCTGACCTTCCCCTCAGGAGCATATTTTACTGCTGTGACATGCAAGATTGTTGATGTCATGGTTTTAACACAGGTAAACATAAGTGTGTCTAATGGCTTTTCAATTCTCACATCAGTGGCAGATTCCCTGTAAAAAAGAAGAAGAAAGGAAACCTAACCTACTCGTCCTCAAGACAGAGTGGAGATATTTGATAAATAATCAAATTTTGGGGGGTTTCTTTATGTTCAAAATTTACAGGATCTTTTATAAGTATCAGTTCAATTTGACAAAATAATCAAAGTGAAGCAAGCATGACAAGATTTTAGTGTTCACAGCTTCCCACATTGTGCTCTCTCTGGGGTGAACTGAGGACTTTGCTGCAACTCTAACATCACCAGCACACTTTGCACAGAAAATAATCAAGGCACGCCAAAATTCACTGGCCTTCACTTAACAGTCAGTGATTCTTTAGTGCTAGGTTTTTACTACATGTGACCCTGAGAGGAACAAACAACCTTTACACCCTCCAAAAAGCTGCAAAAAACATAATAGCAGGAGATAAACTGTATCATCTTGCAGTAACAAGACAATAACCTCTGTATCCTTGACTACACTGCATTTCTTCTACTACTGCCTTAATATGAGCTCCTCTTCTCTGCTTGAAATCAATGGAGTTTTCTACATGACCCAAATCATTATCAATGTGACCAGCTCTGCCTCAGAGATTAGATATGACCCAAAAAAACATCAGCATTTACTTAAAAAAAAATGCTAGTTATTCCAAAGTGTCTGTATTGATGTCACCTGACAGGATGGGTGTATGACAATTTAAAAAAAAAAATGACAATGACTGCTGCTGTAGCTCACTCCAAACACTTCAATAATCTAGGTGTCAGGTCAGACAGGTAAGGCCCGTTATGCAGAGTTGTCTCCACGTTTGTCAGGAATAACATTAACATGAGAGCTCAGAAGAATTCACATGATTTATTTAAGCGTCATCTGAAACTTGAGTTCCTCTCAAGTTTTCTTGTCAAGACTATCTTTGGTCGTTTAGTGGTTTCTTACGTGTGTATATACACAACACGCCTCGACTTTTATACATTTTCAAATTCAAATATACTATTTCAAGTTGAATTTTATTCTTACTTTCAATTGAAATGTCCACTTTTACAACGACTTAGCCTGTTATTGTTCTAAGGTGATGCAGTACTAAAGAGCAGTATGAACTCAACACAAGAATTCGATTCTTTAAAAAAATAAGTGTTACTAAGCAGATTTTTAATTTGCCGAATTTACTAGAAAACTCTAACGAATTCCGTCTAACTTAACTCGTGTTCAGAAAAATAAATATGTTTACTGAAAAACAAAGAAAACTCAAAACCTCCCAAATTTTGAACGCAGTTCCGTAAGCGTCTTTACAACCCGAAGAGAAACGAGGCAAGTCGCTGCAGAGTTCAACACAGCCTCTACAACGTTTTACCAGATATTGAAAATACTCACCACAGTCACATAAACTAGTGTTTTTTCTGTTGCAGCTGGTCCACAGACAGACCCGACCGTTAAAATAAAGAGAACCGCAGCGGGCACCATGTTTCCGTCTGTGTGATCGAAGAGCTAACGCTCAGCTAACCGCAGATATGTCTGTTGTTTCCTTGCCTAGGTCTCCTGTCAGAGCTAGCTAAATGAAGTTAGCCGCGGTTAACGGAAGTTGAACCGTAAAATGTAGCCGTTAAGTTTAAATAAAAAACTTTCAATACATGGGGTGCTTACAGCTTTCTAAGGGTGGTGTGTACGCTATTATTTTTGAAAGCGTATACCTAAATTTCACCAACACTTGCCCTTTTTTGTGTGAAAAATGGCACACATTGTTTAGTGCGCATTTTATTTTGAAATATAGAAACAGTTAAAACGGAAGCAGCATTTTGGACGCCAACTGCCTTAGAACGCCACAGAAGAAGAAGAGGAAGAAGAGGAAGAAGAGGAAGAAGAAGAAGAAGAAGAAGAAGAAGAAGAAGAAGAAGAAGAAGAAGAAGAAGAAGAAGAAAAAATCTGTGTGAAGTAAGGTAGCAGTTATTGTTAGATCGTCAATTGCAATTACCACGAAAAGACCCACAGTGACTTAAAATAACACAAAAAACAAGTAGAAAAAGATGCAACACGACAAAGAAGACGCACAACCACAAGGACACATATAACAACTTAATAGAAACACATGACTACAGAGAGACCCATGACCACAGTGACTACAAAGAGGTGCAAAACGAATAACAACCATTAAAAGATGCAAAAGGATCATAAAGAGATGCACTCTCTCTGCCCAAAACAAACTAGAACAGGACGCAAAACAGATGCAGAATGACCAGAAAGAGATATAAAATGCCTAAGAAAAGACACATTATAAGGTAACAGACACACGATGACTGAAGAGAGACCCACAACAGCCTCTTTTAATATGTAGGGCTTGCTCCTGAGTGGTGGGGAGGCCTATTACATATCTGTGTCCAGGGGCCCATTGCTTATAATTATTAGGCTACTTACAAATAGTAGCTATTTATCAATATTATTCTATATTATAATATTTGAAGTTGTTTATTTGGTTGAATTAAACTGAATAAATGACAGTGCTGGACTGGCCATCGGGGAAACCAGATCTTTCTGGTATTTTATACAACTTTTCTGTTGTTGTTGGTTTCATTTTCATTGCAGATGTGCCAAAACATACAGGTCAGAATTGGCAGGTCATTCACTTGCAATATCTCTCCTTAGCCACTAGAGGTCAGTGGTGCTTCAGTTTTAAGCAACCTAACAAGTACAGTAACCTCACACATACAAGACTTTCAGCCTCAGTCCAGACCTATGGGTAAGAGGTGTTTCTGGATGTTGTTCACATTGTAATAGAGAGCAGAAAATTAACAAATATGTCAGAACCATACCTAATAATACATACAAATACTTAATACATTCAGTTCTGAGCGTAATACAGTGGTCGTACAATCAATATAATACGGAGTTCTCTGTTGAATCTACTTTAACTGCAGAAATCTCGTGTTGAGCTGATCTCGAGCTGAAAAGAGTAATTGATCAGTTAACCATGTGTACACACATGCATGCGGGTATTTACCAGCTTTCACCCTAATCTGGTTTACAGATACTACAAAGCACTGGGTCATAAACACACTTGTTAAAGTGAGCAATAATCCCGGAGGTGTTAAAAGTTAAAACTGCATGTGTGAAAGGGTTGAGGTCTGGAAAAAAAGCTTTTTGTGTTTCAAGAGCAGCGGTTAACGTGGAAAACCTCTGACTCAGAGCTGACCCTTCTCTCATGACCCAGTGGTACGCTGATCTGTATGTGTTTACAGTGAAAAGCGGCTTTCTTGTGTGAGGATCTGGCAACCTAGAAGCACTAAGCCTGGAGGAGTTTATACTCCGGTTACTGATCCTCAGAAGAGCTGGAAACCTGTGGTACCAGTTAAAGTCACCGGTGAGGAGCGAGCAGCGGGATCTCTCTCTACCTTTTGTCATCACCGCTGTTCAACTACACTGTGATTACACACTAAGACATATCATTTCTAGACCAATAGAATGAATAAACCCTGTTATCTAAGGAGCCGTGACCTTGGCAGGCCTTGGTTTGATGTCGTCGGGACCAGCAGCTTGTGCTGGGTGGAGTCTACTCAGTACAGTCTTGACCTGGTGAGCAGGTCGGCGGTGTCATTACTGCTGAGTGGTTTTTGATGAAAGTGGTCCACGTGAGGCTACATGTGAGTGTATTGAAGAAACAGAGTTCAGTTAAAGCTAGTTGCTGAGATAGCCACAGCTGATGCTGAATGTATTTACTTTTCTACCTGTATCTTCTTTTGAAAATTCAATTTTGACAATGCAACATCTTATTAATTCAGATAGTCATCCCATGTAAGTGACCAACTTCCCTGTTTCTGTAGTTACTCCTCTCTATATTATCCTCTACTATTGCCATTATTTCTGTAGCATACTGCTATTGCTAATACGGCTACTACTATTACTAATGCTGGAACACATCATACTTCTACTACTACTACCACTATTGTTGTTACTTACTAATAGGCCTAATACAACTATTACAACTATTTCTTACACAACTATTTCTATGTCTGTCCTCAGGCTTTCTCACACTGGAGTTGAAAATTAACCAGCAGTGGAAAGAATCCCAAAATATCCCTCTGAGGTAGAGGAGCTCCTAATTTGCTGATGTCTCACTTTGCTGGTTTCAGAATCTGTTTGCATAAAAGGAACAGATAGTTTATTTTGCATGGACCAAAAGATAGCGAGCTGTAGTTAAACTATATCTACAGAATAATAAAATTACAATCATGTCACATGCTTTGTTGGCAGAGTTGTAATGAGTCAAATAAAAGATGCCTGAGTTGAGGCTTGCAGAGGGACAGAAAACACCCAGATTAGTGTTGAAATAAACCCTGTGGGAATGTATGAGTACGCAACATCCCATGAACCGCCCGCAAAACACAGAACAGCAAAACAACAATATTCATCATTCAGCAATATTCCCGCTGTATTGTTGCCAAGTTATTGTAAGTCTTTGCCAGTTAAATGTCAACAATAATCTCTTTGTTCCCTTTGTTTTTGCCCCAGGCTGTTTATATCTGCGGTCAAATGCTACGTGTTGCTAAATCCCAGTGGAGGTGTTTGTGTTTTTGTTCATATCTCAGATTATAGGTGGCTGCTAATGCTGAAAACACATGGTGCTGTCGGGCTTAACCCCTGTAAATTAACACTTGTGCAAAAACAGAAAAATAGGCAACGGCCAAATGTCACTGAGATCACACACACACACACACACACACACACACACACACACACACACACACACACACACACACACACACCCTCCAACAATAACAATAATGAGAACAATAGTGATTAGAGAAGGCAGGGATTACCCTTAATCTATCTATGTGTTTGTTTAAGGGGGCAGATATGCTCATTAAGACGCAGAGCACCCCCCCACCCCCTCACCCCCCCTGTCATTTATATACGGTCTAATTCTCACCGACACCTCAATGGCAGAGGTGTAATCTGCTTGTTGGGGGATTATAAAAACCAATCCAAGCGTGTGTTTGTGCGGATGTCGAGGGGGTTTTGGTGGGTGATCTGCCCCCCAACACGGACTTGACTGATGATCATGAAGATCACAGGGAGAATTACTAACATAATTACCGAGATGATCTGATGAACAGATGTCTGCAAGCTTCCTCCTGTCATCTGACAGGCCCTTCCCAGCCAAACACAGTCACTCCAAAATGCTTGTTATCTACCACTACCTTTCCACAAATAGGAAAGTTTTCTTTTTTAGTGTGTGTGTGTGTGTTTGTGTGTGTGGGTGTGTGTGTGTGTGTGGGGGGGGGTTGTGTGGACAGGTATGCAGAGTGAACCTGAGCAGCCAGATGATGGCAGCATTTCTGCAGCTTGTTACACAGACGCCTCTGACGCACTTGCTTTAGTCATTCCCCCTCTGTGAGATGTCTGTTTCTCATTCAGTATGAACATATTTTACAATACACTGCGAGGTGCAGCATAAGCATTAAAGAATATCAAACCACACACAAAATAACATTTTTCTTTTCTTTTTTAAAAGAGAAAAAGCAACATTTTTGAAAAGATAATGGTCATGATTATTATTACCATATGTAGACATCATTGTAGTGTTAAAGTAGAGAATAAATGGTGAGGTAATGAAATAGGAAACGCCAGGTTCCGGTTGGAGAGGAATACCCACAGGTTTAAAAATAGGCCACAACGCTCCTTATATAACAAGTGGGACGTCAGGGTTGTTTACAATGTTGGTGCCTGAGAAATGAAGGGGTTACAATCCAGCATTATGCTGCACATTTCAAATCCTCATTAATCCAAATGGGCTCAGTTGGCCTGTCAATCACATTAAAAAAAAAGAGAGAAGAAGAAGAAGAATAAGCGGAAGAAATTTTAATGGAGGTGTTGCTATGCTGCATTTAAACAGATAAACAGAGTTATGTGTGTGTGTGAGGGTGTGTTGTTTTTTTTACTGTGCTTTCAGTTTACAGTAAGATAGACAGGAACTCTTGATATTCAATGGGCTCCACATTATTTTCAGTTTCTACATGAGAGAGCTGCTGGAAAAGCAGGGGAGGGGCTAGCGTGCAGCGAATTATGAAATCAGCCAATGGGCAGCGCCGCCCCCGGATGATGGACAGGCACGGCCCCTGCAGGACGCCCCGCCCCTCTATGACTCTGTGTTTTATTCTGTTTTTAGAGCAGCAGCCGCGTCACATGTTGTTTTTCTCCAGGATCAGATCGGTCTCTGGTCCGGCGGCTCCACTGTTCCTTCTCCCGTGGCGGACAGCGGACACACATCGGTGTCTGCTATGGATTAGATAAAAAAAAATAATAATAATAATAAACGGGTTATTTTAAAGTTTTATTTTTGCAGAGAGATAATCTATTTTTTTTTTTTTTTTTTTTTTTTAAATAAAAGACTTTGCTTATCTGGAACTTGAAGAGAGACGTGGAGCGAAATGGCAAGTCCTCCGGCGACGGGAGGACACCTGTTATCTAATGGGACGAACGGTGTGAAGAAGTGCGGGTACCTGAGGAAGCAGAAACACGGACACAGGCGCTTCTTCGTGCTGCGGGAGCCGACGGAGCGCTGCCCTGCCCGGCTGGAGTATTATGAGAGCGAGAAGAAATGGAGGAACAAGTCCGCCGCCAAACGGGTGATAACTTTGGACTCGTGTCTGTGCGTAAACAAACGCGCCGACGCCAAACACAAGCACCTCATCGCCCTCTACACCAAGGACGAGTACTTCGCGGTGGCTGCGGACAACGAGCAGGAGCAGGAGAGCTGGTTCGGGGTTTTGACTGATTTGATAGCCGAGGGGAAAGTGTACGACAGCCCCGCATCCACCTCCTCTTTAGTGGGCTTTGAGGAAGCCAGCTACGGACTCATTACTCCCGCAGCAGCTGCCTACAAGGAGGTATGGCAGGTCAACTTGAAATCCAAAGGCTTGGGTCAGATCAAGAACCTCACTGGAGTGTACAGGCTGTGTCTGTCCAGCCGCACCATCAGCTTTGTGAAACTGAACTCTGAGACAGCAGCTGTCAGTCTACAGCTCATGAACATCCGCAGGTGTGGACACTCAGACAGCTTCTTCTTCATAGAGGTGGGCCGGTCAGCGGTGACCGGGCCCGGGGAGTTCTGGATGCAGGCAGAGGACTCGGTGGTGGCGCAGAACATCCACGAGACCATCCTGGAGGCCATGAAGGCCATGAAGGAGCTGTCAGAGTTCAGGCCGCGGAGCAAGAGCCAGTCTGCCAGCACTAACCCCATCTCTGTGCCCACGCGACGCAACCTCAACAACCTCCCCCCCAGCCAGACGGGCCTGGTGAGGAGATCCAGGACAGACAGCATGGCCGCCACATCCCCGGGGAGGAAGTTCACGTCCTGCCGGATTAGAACGGCCAGCGAGGGCGATGGCAGCGTGACCCGGCCCGTGTCCATGTCCATATCTGTGAATGGGAGTCCCACCAGCCCCAGCTGTGGCAATCACCTCAGCAGGTCTCACACCCTCAGCAGCGGGCGCACCTGCAGGATGCTGGAGTCCTCCTCCAACCTGCACCACAGCAGGTCCATGCCGGTGTCCAACTCCCCTCCAGCCGCTTCCAGCCCCATCAGCATGTCTCCCAGAGGGGGGGCTGGTATCTCCACTCCGGACAAAGCCAGGCGGCCTTTCAGCTGCAGCGCCTCCATCTCCGGCTCCCTCAGTGACACCGGCTTCATGCTGTGTGACGACTACAGCTCCAGCCCAGGTGAACCCAAATTCCTCCCCCTGACCCGCAGCGACACCCCTGACTCCCTGTCCAGCACGCCTCCGTCCCGGGACATCAGCGACCCCTGTGGCTACATGATAATGGAGGGCGCGAACGGCGGCAGGGTTCTCGCTGGTGGCGATCTGGCGTTTGACAAGGCTTACAGGAAGCGGACGCACTCCCTCACCACGCCGCGTCAACAGAGGGTGGTGGCGCCGCTGTCCTCCGCCTCCCTGGATGAGTACACGCTCATGAGGATGGCGCACGGGCAGAACTCTCACTCCGCCTCGCCCAAGGTGTGCTACCCCGAGGATTACGGAGACATTGAAATCGGTTCCTCCAGGAGCTCCAGCAGTAACCTTGGCGACGATGGCTACATGCCAATGACGCCAGGTGTAGCACCCCAGTCTGGAAAGGGAGACAACTACGTGCCCATGAGCCCCATGTGTGTCTCGGCACCCAAGCAGATTGTGAACCCCAGGGTGCACCCTCAGGCGGGGGCCGGCGGCGGCGGCGGCGGCTACAAAACCAACTCCCCCTGCAGCAGCTCTCTGGAGGACAACGGCTACATGAGAATGTGGTGTGGCTCCAAATCCTCCATGGAGAGCCCGGACAGACATGGCGAATACATGAACATGTCACCCGGAAACCCTCCTCCACTCCAGACCCCCCCTGACTACTACTTGGGCCTGCTGGCCGGTGAACCTGCGCCGGTGAGGTCGGCTTACCAGGGCGGCTCCCTCACGCTGCCCGCCAAGCTGCAGGCGTCAAAGAACGAAGATGGCTGCCAGTATGTGTTGATGAGCCCTCAGAGCGTGAGGCAGAGGGCGGGGGAGTCCGACTATTATTCGGTGATGCAGCCCAGCGCCGCTCAGACCTCGCCGCTGAGCCCCTCGGTCCCCTCTCCCGTCAGACACGGCCGGGTGGAGAACCTGGCGTACAGGGGGAGGCTGGGCCGGCCCAACAGGCTTTCCCTGGACACCCTGAGGACCCTGCCCAGCATGAATGAACACCCCCTGCCCGGTGAGCCGCGGAGCCCCGGGGAGTACATTAACATTGACTTCAGCTGCACCAGATTCTCCCCACCCTCCATTGTATCCACAGAGAGCCAGTCTTCATCTCTGGGCTCCGGCGGCGGCGGCGGCGGCGGTGGTGGCGGCCCAGGGAGGTCCTCCCTGACTGACTACATCAACCTGGAGCTGGCGTCACACTCCCCCAAGGAGGTTAACACTCCTTCTGCACGCCCCGTGTTGTCCATGTGCCCCTGCTCTGAGGAGGACGGCGTTTACCAGACGGGGTCTCAGGGCCTCGGCAGCGAGATGAAAAATGACTACACCGAGATGACGTTCGGGATGACCAGCTCGCCGCCACAGCTTGTTCCTCAGAACACAGCGAGGTATGTGCAGCAGCGTTGGGAGGGAGCAGTGTTATGATTTATTATCATCTATTACAACAGGCTGGCTGTGTGATTTATCACAGCCTGGAAACAGTGAGTCGCTCATTAGAAGAACAGCTCGCAGGCATTTTAATTCCTCTGAATGAACAAACGTACATTTTAAATCAGTGAATAAAAGCACGTGAAGTGAAGTGTGTGACCGTCAGCAGTAGAAACACTGATGATGTGAATCCTGGTGTAAGCTGTTACTCTGAAGAGGTGGAGATGGTGGAAAGACTCAACATCTCGTAAACACATTTTCTGTGAATTCACTGTGAAAATAAAAGCTGCATGATCACTAAACATCTCTTATTTTGAAAAATCCAGCAGCCAGAGGAGGCTCTCTCTGGAGGACCAGGGAGTCCCAGAAAGCATTGGGGTCTTCCTGCTTGGGGCCACCTCTTCCCCCACAGTGGACCCCGACTGCTCCGCCAAGGTGATCCGGGCCAATCCGCAGGGACGCCGGCGCCACAGCTCCGAGACCTTCTCCTCCACCGCCACCGTGACGCCGGTCTTTCCCTCCTTCGCCCGGGGCGACGCGGTGAAGAGGCACAGCTCCGTGGAGAACATCTCGTCCCGGAGCAGCGAGGGCTCCGACGAGGAGTACGGCAGCCCGGTGAACCGGCAGAGCTCGGCCGGCTACCCCAACGGACTGAACTACATCGCCTTGAACCTGCTGGACAACAGGGACGTGGAGAAGTGCGAAGACCTGGTTGGCTTCAAACCCACCAGCAGCTGCAAAGGGGGTATCAATGGATTACACAGCACGCCATATGTCTGTTTGGGATTCAAAGAGGCTGCCACCACTGCCAAAGGTGAGTGAGGCCCATGTCAGATGTGTCTCTGCTGAATAATTCATCTAAACTCTTTCAGCTTTAAGCACTGCAGGCGTTATTGTCTTAAAGGAGGGGAGAAATATGTTTTAGAAATTTGAATAGAAACAGTTTTGTCTTTACTGTGTGGACGGAGAGCTGCTCTGTACAGCTGGCAGTCAAATAGGAGAGAGGAAACAGAGATGTGTTTCCTCCAGATTCAAATTCAAACTGTCTCTGGATTTCAAAGCACATAAGTAGGTGGTGCTGATGCTGCCTTCAGGTGCTCCTCGTAAGCTCCCACTCCTGAGCACTTTCAAATCCTCTAACACGAGCGGCGCGTTTGTGGCTGCAAGTCACTAAAGCGAACGGAGTCAAAAGGAAGAGGAGAGCTGCAGCCGCTCCTCATGTTTCCTTCACTGCTCTTCAGATCCTCCATATTTGTTAATTCCCGGTATTTCCCACCACACGTGAACGCAGCACGAGGCTGCTATGAAACGTGACCGGGCTGGAGAGCTCTCTGAAGTAAACAAGCACCATGACAGAGCAGGACGCTGCCTCGCCGCCTCTGTTGTGGGCTGCAGGCACCAAAAATACACAAGTAGACTCCAACGCTGACGGATTTAGTTTGTTTTGCACAAAATTAACGAAAAAGAAAAAAGAAAAAGATGCATGATAAACCCACAGAGATTTTGGTTTGAGATAGTCAGTCAAAGTGGTTAACTGTGGCTTGTTATTAGCAGTAATACCACAGGAATGCCTCTGAGCTGATAGTCAAAGCTTCCTGTCAGTTGTAATGTCACACTGAGCTGGGGGCATTTCCGCCTGGTGTTGTTCAGCTGGGTAGGCATTAGGATGTGTTGCACATCGACCTGACCTCTATAGACCCCTTATTCCCACCATCCCATGATCAATACCACGCCCCAGAATATCCCAATGGACAACATGAGGCTGTGGCGGGAGGGGTGGGGGGGTGGGGGGTGGGGGGGTAAGGTAGCAGACGGTGTAAACAAAGAGCGCAGGGACGGCAGAGTGTTGACATTAAAGCCAAGTTTGAGCCCCCTGTGCCATTTATTGGATTCAGTGAAATCACGTGTGTTTGTGAGCACCTACACCCCCGTGTGTGTGTGTGTGTGTGTGTGTGTGTGTGTGTGTGTGTGTGTGTGTGTGTGTGTGTGTGTGTGTGTGTGTGTGTGTGTGTGTGTGTGTGTGGAAAGCGAGGGAAAACAACAAAGTGGGTGAGTTGCTATGCGGCCATCAGGTAACTGGATGTCACGGTCCACATTCCTGGCAGAGCAGGTTTGAAAAGTTGCTGTGAGAGAGGGGCCTGTTTTTGTGTGTGTGTGTGTGTCCCCCCCTCTTCACCCCCCACCCCCCCCCACCGGCTCCAGGCCATTTGAATAGAAAGTGGCTTTTATTTCACCACGAGGCCGCTGTGTGGACGGAGACGTTATATTACGTTTCCATTTGAACACACGGGACAGAAATTAAGCTCGAAAAGTGAATTTAATTTGCAGCAGCACGTGCTCGCATGTTTGTGTGTGTGTTTGTGTGTGTGTTTGTTATCATCATGTTCCCTACTCGGAGCAAATCAAATATGTTTACGGTGCTAATGAAGCTGGTTGAACGTAGAGGGAGGGAAAACAGTCACGCACATACATGTGGACTCCAGCACGTACACATGCAGAGCAGTCAGTGTTTTTCTTCTTCTTCTTCTTCTTCTTTTTTTTTTTCCAGTGGTGTAGCTCGCATCCGTGAACACTTGGCAGGGATGTGCAGAGAGAGAGAGAGAGAGAGAGAGAGAGAGAGAGAGAGAGGCCTGTTTTGTTTTCCAGTGCTGCCTGCCTGTTTGTGGGAGAGCGAATGAATGCGTGCATAATGGGGCAGGATGGCACGTGCACTCCGCTGCCCTTCTGCCTCATTAGGCTGTTCACTTAGCAGAAGTAAGACAAGCAGGGGAGGGGGGGGGGGGGGGGGGGGGGGGGGGGGGGGGGGGGGGTGCACGGCCTTGTATGCTCAGTAGAAAGAGGAGGGGAGGGGCTTCGGCTTTTTGAAGCAACAAACAAACTCATTGGTGAGGGCCCCTTTCAACCAAGGTGCATTCTGGGATCCCGATTGCTTGTTTACTGAACACTCAGTCCCAACTGCTGAGTGGCGACGCGGGTTGAAGGAGGTCAAAGTGCGCTACGTGGGGAGGGGGTTCTTTTGGCACCAGTCCACCACCCGGCGGAGCGCTTTAATTACGTGTTTATCAGGAACGTAACGCCCGCGGCCCCCCAGGACCGCCGGCCACCCTGACCCAAAAGTCTGCAGGTTTCCCTTTCCAGCCAAACGCCTCCACGCCTCGACTCCGCCGATTAGTTCGCCCTCTGAGTGAAATGCAGTTTGGCTGGAATGGAAACCTGCTGACTCTCGGGTCAGGGTAACGCCGCTGTGGAGGAAGATGTGGCTGTTTGTCAGGATCAAAGAACCGCCATAACTGCCCCATGGAATTTAGCGTTTGCCCCCCCCCACCCCCAGACCCATGTGACAGCCCCCTTCAGAGTGAAACGTGACTGCGCTGCTTCCAGTCAACACCCCCCCCCCCATGGTCATAAGCTCTTGACAGCTGGATACATTCTTTTTGCTCTGCTCCACCTGGAGTCAGCTTAGATGTCTTAATGCCTGGCATCAGGGTCAGGTATTTGTTTACCTCCTGTTCTGTCAGCGGGCCAGCCCATGTGACCCTGAGGTGGTGTTTCCCTCCGCCCGTCTCCTCCAGCGGCTCTGGCTAGCCGCAGCTCAGCCAGGTGGACGTTCTGTACCAGACCCAGATTAGCCAAGTCAGCCGTCTCCGTCTCCATCCCCTAATACCGTCATCTGACGGCGACGAGCGGCTCCTGCTTCCTTCCTCCGTGAGGGAGCTTCACAGTTTCATCATCAGGCGTCACAGTCGGTAGAAAACGGGCGAGGGACTGGAGGAGCCCCGCTGTGACACTCCCAGTCCGTCCTGAGTGCTCATGGCAGATGGCCAGTCTCTGGAGGGCAAGTGTGTGAGAGTGTGTGTGTGTAGTTGAGGTGGGGGGGGTTAAACACCTGCCACTCTACCCCGATCTTCACACACAAACACTCTCATTACACTAATTTCCCTGCCTGTGCCCACGCTAGCATGTAAACATATACACACTACTATATGTCTCTCACACACACACACACACACACACATTTCTACTTACTCACTATCCTTCCACTAATGACGGCCAGCCATCTGCTGCCCCCCTGGCTGCAGAGAGCATGACCATCAGCAGCGAGTGTGTGTGTGTGTGTGTGTGTGTGTGTGTGTGTGTGTGTGTGTGTGTAATTCGTCGGCCAGATTAGAGGCATTCGTGGCCATCTACTCAAATCCCGCTTCCTCTGAACGTCATTCAGTCTGTAGTACTGCGAGTGATGTCATCACAGAGATGATGCACGCAGCGCATGTTTTATATATATATTTATTTATGTCGCACGCATTTCCGGTGATGTGTGTGTGTGTGTGTGTGTGTGTGTGTGATGAAGAAGAGGCAGCAAGCCAAAGGAGTCGAGCTGCGCAGCCATGCATCTCTAACTCGCTCTGAGCATGCTCAGTAGATGATGCCGTCATAACAAGTTGTGCGAGTCAGGGAGGGAGAAGAGACCTGTTTTTAACTAAACTCATAAAACACACACACACACACACACACACACACACACACACACACACACACACACACACACACCACTCAGACTCTCATCTTACATCATCACTCCTCAGTTCCCTCTTTTCCTGTTTTTGTGTTTCTCTAGAATTTTAAATTTGAGTTGAAACAATTATTATTTGACAGAAAAATAACCATAAACTATTCTGATAGTCAATAATCGATCATGTATAAATTTGAGACTCTGTGGCAAGTTTAGCTTGTGACTTACAGAGTCCTGTAACACTCCTTCATGTTCAGAGGAGCAGTGTCGTGAAATGCCGGTTCTGACAATAATAATAATAAAATGAAATATTGATGTGATGTTAATAACACACATTATTATTTTTATCATTATATATATAGATATGATAATAATATCGTTATCATCTATCATATCGATTTCTATCTCATGTTATAGAGACTTGAGGCTCGAGTGTTGGTCTTATAAAAGAACACACACACAGACATTTACATATAAGGGCTGTAGAGAGTCGTCATCCCCCTGTGGAGCTCTGTTACACTCTGTTCTGGCGTTTGTGGAATTACTCGTAAAGGTGACACCTGATTTCAGCCATCAGCTTGATTGTTCAGTCCATTCATTGCTGCTGCTTCCCTGCACACCAGCTCAAATTCACACACACACACACACACACACACACACACACACACACACACACACACACACACACACACACACACAAAAGCTGTGAAATGGTTTATTTACATCCAGCTGCACTGAAGCTGAGATCTTGCAAACATAGCAAAGCAGCGCAGAAAGCCAAAGCCAAGGAAATCCAGAAATGCCATGTTACTTGATATATAGAGAACAAACATGCACACATAACACCGCGGGCTCCTGTGTCAGAGTTTCCAGGCAGTGTGTGTGTGTGTGTGTGTGTGTCATGGCACAGGGAGGCGGGGGGCTAAAGTAGGCCGGGATGTTCCAGACAGAAGCGCTAGCTGCGAGATAACTGCGTGGCCAGCGTTCCCCACATTTAGCCAGCCACGGCTCCAGATGAGATTACAGCCTCTGCAGGCGAGATTAGACGGCCAGGGGTAGATCAACGAGAGCCAGCGGCTACTCCCCAGACAGCAGCTGGGGGAATACGTAACGCAAGGTGTCGGCATTTGTGCACTTGGGCATGTCCACATGTTTTTTTTTATTGTAATTGAGCTAAAAAATCAACAGAAATCTAATTGGAAACGGGCCATAAAATCATAGAGGAATGTTCCCTGTGAGCCATGAGGCAATAATCAACCAAACGGTAATATCTCACTCATGACATAGAATCAGTGTCGATGTGCAAGTGAGTTCTGGGTGTTTTAATAGAGAATTATATAAGATTCAGGGACTTATCTTCGGATTTAGTGACTTAACACCGCTGCACTTCATCCTTCTCTGTTTATCATTTATTCCTGTTAAAAACATCTATAAAAAGATCTAATGATACGTTTCTTCTTTATATGTGTATTGGGTGACGGCTCCAACAGCAGCAGCTTTTCAGGAATTAAGAAAAACAGCCTCGTTTTCAGCTCTGACCGCCGCACATTTTTGAGGTTATCCAACAGCTTTTTAAGGAGCTTCATCAGCCTCACAGTGACACAAGTGTCCCGGCCCAAAGACCGTGTAATTCTCCTGTGGTTTCATGACACATGACTGCAGCGAGGATATTGTCTAGAGGTTGTCTCCTTCGCCCCTGCGCCGCCTTCACGTGCACGCTCTTCCTGGAGGATTCCAGTTGACCCATGTCCCACCCCTTGACCACCAGCCGGACTTCAAGTAAATCCTTCCTTCTTAGCGCTTCTTACAGTGTCCCCACCCTCCCCCTCCACACACACACACACACACACACAGACTACCAATTTGATTAAAACCAGCCACAGTCTCTCTGTGTGTATAATATCAGAGATGCATCAGCTACTGTACTGCTCACTGCCACTGCTGCTAACTGGTTCCTCCTCTGTTCAGCGAGTGCCCATAGCAACACGGCAGAGCACGACAGGAGTCCATACGTGTTGCCCCCCCCCAAACCCCAACCCCCAACCCCCATCACTCCACATCCCAGATTATGTAATTACGACCGTTGCCGGCCAGCCTCCCCCCACCGTCCTTCAAGAGCTTCCCGGGCAAATCGTCTGTCGTGCGTTGTGAGCAGAAAGCGACGCACAGGACCGGGGCGGTGGGGGCGACCGGGCAGAGCTGGAGCTATAATGTGTTGATGAGCGGGTCCCAGCTCTGTGATGCAGTTAATATTTATATATTTATATAAAGAAGCAAAGCAATGCACCCCACTAAGGCAGTAAATGTTGTGTATTGAGGGAAATGCTCTCCACAAGTTTGTTTAAAAGTCGTGAGATGAACGCTGAAGGTAAACATAAACCGCTGCTGTTGTCATGTAGTGGAATGAAAGTGAAGCAAAGGCTGTTGAGGTTATTGAATTTTTCCATTAACTCTCCTTTTATTTTTTTTCCTGTCTTGTCTCTTTCAGACTGAGCGACTCCTCCGTCCTCTGACTTGGCGTCTTCACCAACCTGCTGCTCGAATTTAAAAAACGTTGCCCTTCCATTGGGCTCTGTGGCCCTAAAAGACTGTCTGGACCCTCAACAAACACACACACACACACACACACACACACACACGGAAACACACGCTTAGGAAACAAGCATGCCACCATCTATGCATGTCATGAGTTTGCTAAAGGCAGGACAAGTGTGTTTGTGTTTTGTGTGTGTGCGTGTCTCATGCGCTTTCCGAGGCCATTGGCCATTGGGGCTCCCGTGACCCAAATTTTTGGCACAAGCACAGAAGCGAAGATAGTCAGACAACAACAAAGCTCTCATGGTACCCAGATGTTATTTATTTACTTGAGGGTAGTTTGATGACTACCTGTATGTGTGCGAGTGTGTTTCTGAGAAAGTATGACCAACTGGTATGTCAGTGAACAAGGAAACCTACTATAGACACGGCCCAGGGAGCAAGGATACCAAGGTACACTGAGTATATAATTATATTTAGATTAGATATTTTATTTATTTTTGGAAGATGAATGTCTGATAAGACCTACCCGATGCCTTAATGTCTATATTGTCCTTATGTTTTCTATGAAATGACAGATAAATATTCTATTACGGTATGTCTGTTTGGACCTACATCTCTATATTGTTATTCTCTTGTGGAAAGTAAAAAGCCTAGTTTACCATTAAAATATATTATTTCAGAAATGTACAGTACAGTGGGGCTGCTTGAGAGCTGATTTATCGTATTGATATTAAAGTATTTTCTTAATTACTAATTTCTTATTTATTCTAACCTAGTTTATTTTTTTGTCCAATCAAAACGCTGGACTTAAAGAAATATATTTCTAAATGTCTCTAAGAGTTATGCATGTCTCTATAACTCAGCTCAGACCCCACAACACCAGGCATCTGAATGCACTGTACCTCCCACAGTTCCTCAGTCACTTGAGCCTGAAAACCTCACACACTCCTACCTTCAAACCTACAGCCTGCTGTTTAGCTCAGCGCCGGCTGCCCTGCTGTGATATCATTTGATGGTACAACTGTCTAGCTGAGGTGATAACGGAGGGGGTGGAGCCTATGAAAAAAATATCAAGGTTGGGGGGGGTGGGGGTGGGAGGGGGCAAAGTCCAGACGGCTTCTGGTGAACGAGTGCATGAGGGGAGGAGCAGAACAGAGTAGTAGAAGAAGAGAGGCCAAGAGCCACATCTGGCGCCATCATGGAGGTTCACTGGAGAGTCAGCTGTCTGGAAAATATAACTGTATGGCAGTAGAGCCGGCTGAAGACAGTTATGTAATAACAAGTTAAAGTAAGACTATGTGACTACTGTATAACAGTTATGAGATAATGCTAAATGCTAACACAATATTAGCACAAGCAGAGAAGGGTCATCACGTCAGTAAACTGTTTTAGTAAATTACACTAAAGGTCATACCAGACCAAGTAAGGCTGAGGAATTAACTAACAATGTTTAGTTGCTTCTGACGAATGTGTTATTTCTTACTTTAAATGCTACGAAAGTCTTTCTTTAAAGTAAGACTGTGAAACATTTGCTGAACAGCAGCCACGAGTTGTAGGTTCGGGATGATGCTAAATGCTAACATGTAGCGTAATACTAGTACATGTCAAGAAGAAGTGTGCAAACCAACTCAGTAATGTTAGTTACACAATGCTATCTATCTAAAGTTTGCTAATGTTAGCTAACATTAGCTAACGTTAGCTAACGTTAGCAAACATTGGCTAATTTAAGTTACTCACACCAAGGCTTTAACAAGACTTAATGCTGATAAATTCAACTTTTCATTTGTTGTTTGACTTTTTTAAGAGAAACTAAACATTTTAATCAATAGAGAAATTATCTCCAGTCACAAATCACATTTAAAAAAAGAAAAGAAAAAGTTAAATAGAGCTGCCTCCCCAGAGCTGTCAACCTCCAAAATGGCTGCCAGAGCATTTGTAATAACTTCATCTGAAAGCCCTCTGTCGACATCCCCCATTCTGTGGTCTTTGCATCGTCCACTGTGCTGACTCCGACCGGCTCACAAACCCCTTTAGTGTACATTAGATTGTAAAACTTTCAACCATGTCTGAATGTATCGCTGAGCTGGTGGGAACACCGCAGAAACATAATGTGGTGATGGTGGTGGTGGTGGTGGTGGGGGGGGGCGGTTTTGACAAAGTTAAGTAATATTGGAGCTGTACCACGGTGGTATCTATTTATCTTCAGAGTCTTGAATGTGTATATTGTGTACATAGAAAGAGTTTAACTAAAAAGAGTACTTAGATTTTACCTATGTTGCAATGATATTCCTGTGTAAAGACTTTGGCTACCGATTTTTAAAAAGGGGATGGGTTTTTTTGCTTTGGGGTTGTACAGTGTATTGTATGCTTTTCTCCCTCACAGTCTCTGTGACTATGAAAAAAAAAACTCTGTCTATTTTATTATAGAGATCTCTTTGCCTTGTTGACACACTTTACCTAATGGCATATGCAATAGTGACATAAATACAATCTAGTTTACAACCGTGGAACCAAATGTAACATTGCATTGACGATTTTGTTTTTTCTTTTCGTGGCGAGCAGAAGCTGTTTTTTGCTCCTTGTATATTTCTCTTTCTGCCAAGTGTTTTGTTTTCGTCGCTGGGAACTCTGTTCTTGACATGTCTCAAAGCGCTTTCCCCCTCATTTCTGTGTCCATGGACAGATTCTTCTTTTACAGATTGATCTTGGACTGACTCAGTTTGAATGTGTCGTTGTCTTCCATTGTACATAGATCAATATACTGTTTATTGTGATGCTCACAAGAGATGATAATAATGATTTATAAAATCTGGTAGTCAAGTATTGCTTTTGTCTGTACTGATTATGGATAGCAACCTACAGAAATAAATGAATTTATTTAAAGAGGTACAACTTTGTCTCAAATTTTCTCTTCCCACAAAGAACGGTCCATGCAGCCTAAATGACAAACAGCATGCTTCTCTTTGCAATATTAGTAATGAAATAATGAAAATATAATATTTTTCTTACAGAATTACCTTTATCTACTAGTACTATAAAGTTAAACACAGAAAAAAATATTATCCATATGTTCAGAAATGCTTTAAAGCAACCCTATGTAACGTTACTACTACTGTAACATTTGACCACAGTGGATATTGGGATGTTATATACAGTAGGGTCACTTTATTTTTTTATATATTGATTTAATAACATAAAAGTTTCATATGACTTCACTATCTTCTCCTGTACCCACTGGAATGTCATGCACTTGGCACAGAGTCAAATAACCTCTTGACCGTGCGTCAAGACAGGAGGATATCCCACCTCCATCCTGTGGAGAGTGAGGAGCTGAACTCTCCAGCCAACACTTTCTCTCTCTGTTAGTGTTTTTTATTGCAGACGGAGGCCGAGGCAGGAAACTCATACTGAGCCAATGACTTCCTGCCAAGCCACGCGTCTCCAGAAAAGACTGTGTAGTGAGTGCAGGGAGGTCAGGACGCAGGGGCGGAGCCAGACATTGTAAACATTTGGGGCTTAGCCCCATCTTAAGTCAATATTCAGGGGTGATGCTCCCCCAAGGAACTTTTTCCCCCATTCACAGCAGCTACATGCACAATTCACCGTATCAAGCCATTTCTACATCATTTGGGAAAAACAAGAAATTTGCTCAAGAAAAGAAATCATCCTGAGCACACAACACAACAGATTTAGACAATGCCTCATTTTTATTACTGTCACAGAAAAAGAGGCAAAGATTGTCTGATGTGACTATTCTGAATTTACATGAAATAGGCGAGGAATGAATTTCTGTTGCACTGTGCTGGAGTAGAGTTCACAGACTTAATGTTTAGATGACAAATCTAAACGGGTCCTGCAGGGAAAAACCAGAGGTGCGCACATCTGTCTGCTTTAATGGACTGTGCACATACAGGCATTGGGCACTTGCACACACATGGAAATAGCCCATAAAGTCTCATTGTTAGTTTTAGTGTTAATTAGTGAGCTTTAGAGGCGCAGGCTGACTTTTGACCTTTGGACAGAGCCAGGTCAGCTGGTTCCCCCTGCTTCCAGTCGTTGCTAAGATTGCTAAACTAAGCTAAGCTAACCGCCTCCTGGTTCTAGGACTTCATGCACAGACATAAGAAATCCCAAAATACTGCAAAACATGTTCCCTGACAGAATTTCTAGTCTGGTATTGGACGGTTTTGTGTGGAACTACATTTTACTGAACAAACTGTCCCAGTTAAAGCTGTTGACGAAAAGCTGTGTAGATTATATTTTGACACATTTTCCTCCACAGAAAAGTGGGCCAGTGCAGGAATGACTCGGTGTGTTTCACAATGACAAATAGAGTTGTCACTTTTTTATTGTTGGAATTTAAGATTTACAGTCCATGCGTGCAACATACCGGCAGATCTTAAACTCTACTGTCAGCTTGACCTATGGCTGCTTTCAGGGACCTGTCAGTGAACTAAACTAATGATTGAAAATGGGGGAGGACTGAGAAACAGCGTGTGGAAGTATCTGTAGGTACCAACAAATAGCAACAACAAATCTGTCATATGTGAGGCAGCAAATGTACAACTTTGTCTGACTTAAAACACATGATCCACATGGGAAATATAAAGACTGCACTCACTCCACTGATGCTTATGTGACATACAGCTTACTGTCTCTCAGACTCAAGCATTACACTATATAGCTTTTATTTGTAGCCATGCTAACCGCGTCAGAGCGACTTTGGTGCGCTCCTGATTTGAGGTTTCAAGGCCACTTGGTTTTAACAGTCGTGCCGTTAACTGTTGAACTGAGCTCAAGCCCAATACTTACATTTAAAAGTGTAATACTGTCAGCGTTGCTTGCTGCCATTTTATTTTCATTAGCAGCGTGCAATGAATCTTGGTTCATTGACGTTAGCATTTAGCTCAGAGCACTGGCACAAAGCTGCTAGCACGGCTGACAAATACGCCACTCAAAAACCATCTCACTGTATTTCACAATCTCCTCTCTCTCTCGTCTCTCTAGGAACATTTTATTTGGTCATGTTTAATAAATCAGTGTCTTTTTTTTTAATGCACATTAAGAAAAAAAAGTGTGCAGCTTTCAGGCTATTACTGCTCCCATTACACATATCAATTTAAGTGGGTGCCTTGGGTCTCATCTGGAGTGTCCCCTCGAAATACCAAACGCTGAGATGAAATAAAATATCCCACACTCACAATATGTTTATATTTTAATGCAGTTGTGTCGCTTTAATATTCTTATGGGCATCATTTTACCAAGTTACAAAATCTCCAGTAAACACACACAAGCAGCCAATGAGGGCACACCTCTAGCTGGTGTGTATTAATTAGCAGTGTGACACTGTCAGTGGAGCTTTGCTCTGCTGCCAGGCAGAAACCAGCCTTACATAAGACCCCACCACCAAGCCACCAGGAGGGACACAATGTTCCTCACCCCCCTCTGCACTGTCTGTCTGCCTGAAAAAAAAAGAGAAAATCACTTTCTCTTCCTTTTTTTTCTTTAATGAAACCTATTCTGGTCTGAAGGCAAACAACAGGAAAAGAAGAAGGACAGTCTTTGTTGCATGAGGCTTTTGTTGTTGCTGGTTTTCTTCCTGAACAAAGAGCTTGTGAAAATAAAGAGTGCCAGGGAAGTGAAATTCTCAGGCTTGTACAGCAACAGTTATGGGTTCCTAAAATACAGTGTACAGGATGCTCCTTTGAAGTTATTGTGTGTGTGTGTGTGTGTCCATACCTGATCTATTCCTGGATGCCCTATAATTATTCCCAAATTTAGCATCACATTCACAATCAAATGCTTGTACACACATGCGGACGAGCTGTGGTGCTGCAGCCATGAAATCTGTGTCATCATCATGTGATTTTGGAGGTTTGATTTATTAGAACTTGTGACATTTCCTGTGTCTTTTAAAATCAGGAAATTTCCAATTTCAAAATGACATCAAAGCGGCGAAACTGTCTGGCACTCGGGCTGACAAAAAGTGCCTTTGTGGTCAGCGATGGGAAGCAATGGAGGGAAACTGCAGTGTTTATTACAGTAGCAGCT